TTTAAAATAATGGAGGAAGATAAAGAGGGCAATAATTTCTTTGTGATGTGAGGGTTTAAAACTAGATTGTTTCAGTTTCTCAGTGTGGCATTGTATGTCTAAGAACCCAGTGATCTGCTCTGCAGGATTTGACTTTTTTGTCTCACTCTGTTGTCTGTCACTTATAACTAGGACAGGATGAAATGAGAGGATGAGAAGAAGTACTTAGCATCACTCTTCTTCAGTTTGTCAAGCTTTGGGTTTCAGATTGGGAACATTCAGATACAGGCAGCCACTTTGACAAATTTATGTCAAAATGGCACAAAATATAAAGACATCCACTTTTAAAGGTGTATCCTGTAAATATATTTGCACACGTGTATAAAGATATATATACTGATACAAGAAAGATTATGAATTTGAGGTCAACCTGAACTACATAATGAGACCCTGTCTCAGAAACAAGGCAAAACCAAAAGATATGTGTACAGGGAATATAACTGAAATATACTTGAGAAGTGTTCATCTATAGAGTGCTGACTTAAATAATGATATATCCAAATAAGGGATTGCTGTGCCTCCTTTGGAATAGAATGAGGCTAAAGCATGTGTATACGTATGCAATATGTCCACAATATTTTGTTTGAAAAATTAATAGAAAAATATCTAATTGTTCCTTTATATTTTGAAAGTGTTTTAAAGCCAGTTGTAATATTTATGGAGCTTATGTAGATCCAGAATCAAAACTAATTTTTTTAACTTTGAGACAATCAAAATTTGAACCCTGACTGGACCTTTTGTGTGTGTGTGTGTGTGTGTGTGTGTGTGTGTGTGTGTGTAGGATTGAACCCAGGCTTTCACACTGAGATACTTGCCAGCCCTTTTTCTTAATATTTCATTTTTCCATTTTGAGGCAGCATCTCATCCCTAAGTAATTAAGTTACTCGGGCTAGGTTGGAACTTGTGATCCTCCTGCCTCAGCCTCCCAGAGTGCTAGGATTTAGGCACATGGCACCACACCCAGCATAAGTGTGTTAATATGTTGGACTATGTTTTTTTTTAAATTACTATCTTTTAGAGGCACTTACTAAAATAGTTAAATTTTAGCTGACAAACTGTCAGGGATTTGCTTCAAAATAATCTAGGATGGCAGAAAAAAAATATGCGTGAGACTACAAAGTAAGGTTGACCATGAGTTAAAAATTGTTCAAGTGAGATAATGAATGTACGAGTTGAGGTATCCAAAATACTTGTGACCAGAAATGTTTTAGATTTGGGATGCTTTGGTTTGTTTTTTGATTTTGATTTTGGACTATTTACATATACATACTAAGATATATAAACTATAACTATACGCCTAGCTTGAAAGTAAATTTATACAATGTTTTTAATGTGCCTGTGTTTGACTGCAACCCATCTCATTAGGTTAGGTATGGAATTTTCCACTTTGGCATCATGTCAGTACTCAAAGGGTTTCAGATTTGGGATGATTTCCAATTTTTGAGATTAAGTATGCTCAACCTATACTATTCCTCTTCACTTTTTTGAATAAGTTTGAAATTTCCCATAAAATAAAAATAGTTAATAAAATAAATTTTATTTTGTTTATATATAATTGTGTATGTTTGCATATGTATAGAAAATATATTAAATGATAAACACCAGTGTGTTAATAATAGCCATCTCTTAGGATTGTGATGAGGGGTTGAAGCTACTTTTATTCCTTTTTTTGTAGTTGTATCGAGATTATTTGAAGTTTAATGATGCTAGGTAAAAAATTACTAGAGAAGTTATTGTGCTGTTTATCCAGTAGTTTATTATCATCTGTTACCAGCAACCTTCATTAAGGAAGAGTTTAATGCCTAGGTTAGAATGACATGTCACTCAATACTCAATATTGTTAACACGTTAGGAATATTTAACTTCTTTAAAAACTTTAAGGTTATATATAATCTCCAGAAAATTAAAAATTCATTCTGTATTCTCTGAGAAACAATTTAAAAACTGTCAGAAACCTATCTTGTTCTGATACAGTCTCCAATTTGGAAGATATTCTTTGTCCAGTTTTCAAAAATAAGGCTATGTGATAAATATGGGCTTATAAAGAACATATTCCTTTAGAGATGAATAATCTGTATTGTTCTCTGATATGTGTGGATATGTTTTACTTTCTATCATGTCAAGTAGTAATGTCTAGTATATTTTAAACAAGAGTTCTTATTTACCATATTTCCTATCTGTATGATTTATCCCTAGTAATGAGTCTCATATTATGGTTGGAGATATGAATAAAGGCTATTCTGTACCTTTATATTTGTAAATGATTTTTTTTCCAAAATAAATATTTTTATATTATGAAGTACACATTTTTCTCAAAGTCTCCAGTCAATACATATGTAAGGTTTTAATAAAATCTGTATCCTCTCATGTTGAATGAAGACTGAATGTCCATGAAAGGCTTTTTTGTATTTTTTTTTTTTGGTACTGGGGATCGAACTCGGGACCTTGCGCTTGCGAGGCAGGCGGCGGAACCACTGAGGTAAATCCCAAGCCCCTTTTTTGTATTTTTGTATTTGTAGGTTTTTTCCTCCGGTATAAATTCTCTTATGTTTATTAAAATATGAAAAATTGTTACAAGCTTTTCCAGGAGATTTACCTTTATAGGATTTTTATCTAACATGAATTTGGTGATGTTGTCTAAGATTGGAAGTATGTGTTCTTTGGTGCCAAGAAAGATGTGAAATTTGATTAAAAGTTTTGTCACATTCTGTGCATTTGTAAGATTTCTCTCCAGTATGAATTCTCTGTTGTTTAGTAAGGGTTGAGCTATGATTAAAGGCTTTGCCACATTCTTTACACTTACAGGGTTTCTCTCCAGTATGAATTCTTTGGTGCCCAATAATGGTAGAGAAATACTTAAAGGCTTTACCACATTCTTTACATTTGTATGGCTTCTCTCCAGTTTGTATTCTTTCATGATTACTAAGATTTGACCTTCGATCAAATGCTTTGCCACATTGTTTACATTTGTAGGGTTTCTCTCCTGTATGAATTCTCTGATGTTGAGTAAGAGTTGAACTTTGATTAAAGGATTTCCCACATTCTTCACATTTATAGGGTTTCTCTTCAGTATGAATTCTTTGGTGTCGAGTAATGGTTGTACAATATCTGAATGAAGCTACTTTTATTCTTAATACTATACTACTTGATTTTTATAACAAATTTGTGTTATTTCCTTAATACAAAGCTTATATATAGTCTTTCTTGTTTTGTTTTGTTTTTGCAATGCTGAGGTTCAAACACGGCCTCATACATGCTATATAAGTCATCTATCACTGAACTAAACCCCAGCCCTTTTCTTTTTGAGACAGTGTCTTGCTAAGTTCCCAAGGCTGTCTTGAACTTCAGATCTTCCCACTTCAGCCTCCCTAGTCACTGGGATTTCAGGCATATGCCACTGCCCCTGGCTTTAGAAGTATTCCTTTAAAAACTACCAAGTTAAAAAATGCATGCTATGTAACATTAGAGAGCTTTGAACTATCCTGATACAGTACTTGAGCTGATTTTTAAATGTAGAAATGAGGAGTAGGGAAAGAGTCTGCTTTGAACATTTCTTAGAAATAAAATTTTAAACATAATTTTGTTATATCAGAATATTCCTACAGGGGAAAAAAGATGTCCATCAGAAATGCCTTTTTATAATGTTCATGCACTCAGCCTTCCCATAGCATTGTTTGTCTTTCAGTCTTTCATCTATTGTGAGAATTCCCTCAACAGAAAATTTTCTCTTCACTCAGAGTTTGACCCCTGAAGAGCACGAACACTATGACTTCAATTTTTTCTTAAAAGAACCTATAACTTATAAAAACTAAAATATTCCTCCTATGCAGACACCCCTCCCCTAGTATGCCAGATAAATATACCTCACTAGTTTGGATATTCATAGATATTCTAGACAAAAATAGCCTGCATTATAAGGAAGAAAAGCAGAAGTAGCATAAGTCTTCAAAAAACATACCTCTCCAGGTCCACTTAATTCCCAAACTTTGTTAATATCTTTCTACCCTGAAAATCTCCTGCCTTTAACTCACTTGGGCCATATTTGGGCAGAAGAGTAAGGTAGTTGCCAGAATATCTTAACACAGTTTAAAGAATAAAATTTTCCAATTTCCTACTGGAGAAACCCTTGTGAAAGGGATAAACACTACTACATACAGTTGAGGCCTATGCCATTCATACTAGGAAAAAAAATGTTGCTGATGGCAATCAAGTTTGTGTTTTTTTCCCTAAGGATGAACAAATGTGGTTGTTTGGGGGTATGTTAATCAGGGTGAAGAATGCTAGCAGACATAACAAATGTACAAAGTCTCAATGACTTAAAGATTCACTATTTCTCTAGTATAGTGCAGTCTAGTTTAGATCATCAGACAAGTTCCTTTTGTGTAGTAGTTCAGAAATTACCCTGAGCATCAGAGTCCTCTGTTAAATCTTTCAGTCAAGAAGAAAGATAGAAAGTATGCAGAAATGCACAGGAGGTTTTGGGGCCAGCTCTGTATGTGATATGTTACTTCTGTCCAAAATTTATTAACCAGAACTCAAGCACATGAATCACTTAACTGTAAAGGAGGCTAGAAAATATAGTTTTCTCAAATGCAAGGGAAGAAAGTTAAATGATAGTCAGTGGTCACATCACAATATCTCTTCCACAATGTATATTTTAGTAACTTGAATTTAAGGGACTTAATCAGAAGGCTACTAGAAAAGCTATAGAAAAACAAATTATATCCAGATAGAACAGAAAAGAAAGATGTTAAGTAAATTTACTACTAGCAACTACTGTATTAGAATTTAAGTTACCTTGTTCCTACAGGACTAGTCTGTGTCCACATCATTAGATAGGTTTTGCTGGGCCTGGCCATTGTTAAAGTTGAGACTCTTAATTAAAATTAGAGGCCATTCACTTACTAATTGTGATACTTTTTAGCAGGCCTAATAATTCTGTCTCTGTATTTCTTTTTTAGGGTTTGAGTAAAAAAGTTGGTGTATCATCCTCCATCCTCCAAGGTCTCTGGATCTCCTATAGCACAGAAGGTCTTTCCATGGCATTAGCATCTTTACGAAATCTCTACACTCCAAATATAAAGGTAAACACGAAAAAATTACAAATGGATTAAAGAATTAACTGTAAAAAATAAAAATAAAACTAGAAGGACAGTGACTATTTAGTTGCTCATTTGCCTTAGCCTGTCTCCTATTAATTAGCCTTTTACTGATAACTTGATATATTTTAAATTGTTGCGTCTTATTCTATGAATTGAAAACTAACCATATTTTCCTTTTACTTCTATAAGCTGACTCGGACATATGGAATCAGGTCTTGGTAGTTCTAGAGACCAAATTGATCTCAGCTAGCCTTTGTTTTGGAAGGAGCTTTTCCGATCAAAAGTTTGATTAGTAGAGATAATGTTCAGCTCTAGAGTATGGATAGCATTTGTTCCACCTACTTAGCAGTTTACGTAAAGGAGATGTTTTACATTCCTTTTCTAAAAGCAAAGTACCTGTATTGAAAAAGGAATAAATGAAGAATATAAAATAAAAGTTATTAAATGCTTCTAGACACTGTAGTAGGATCTCAGGTGATTTAATTAGAAAAAAAAAAACCTAGAAGGGTGTGCCTGATGTTTGTCTGATTATTATTTCTATTTATTTACTTATTTCTAGGTCAGCCGACTGTTGATTTTGGGAGGTGCCAATATTAATTACCGGACAGAGGTTTTAAATAATGCCCCAATTCTATGTGTTCAGTCTCATCTTGGTTACACAGAAATGGTGGCCCTGCTTTTAGAGTTTGGGGCCAACGTGGATGCCTCTTCTGAAAGCGGCCTGACTCCTCTGGGGTATGCTGCAGCGGCAGGGTTCCTGAGCATTGTGGTGCTACTATGCAAGAAACGGGCCAAGGTAATGGCTGCCTACCTCTACTACTATCCCTTTGTTCCCTTTTTCTTCCTTCCTTATGTAAAATCTTTCTTAAATCCTGAGTTACCTCAGGAGTCTAGGTACATCAAACCCTGATGTGGGGAGCAGATGAAAAGGAGAGCTGGCTCTGCTTACATCCCAGTATTTGACCACTTGCCAGTGCCAGTCCACACTGCATCTGGACACAGCTAATCTTTGAGAAGCACTTAGGAAAGTATATTTACCTGCAACCATAAAAAGTCCCTACTAGACAACCCAGAAATTCTCTACTGATCTCAGAAGCCCCTTTCTAACAAAAAGAGTGAGGGAGTGAGGAGATTGCAGTGGGAGGTCTGAACTGAACAGCTCCTGCAGACTTAAGTCTTTCATATGTAGAAAAGAAATGTTACCCAAGTTGATGAGAGAAGACCAGATGTCCTCATTCTGTCCTTGAAGACCACCATCCTAGAAATTTGTGGAAAAGATGATTCTCCCTATTTATACTCAGGCTGAACAAGGGCATCTCAAAGAGTTTGTTAGTACATTTCAGTTCTCTGAAAACATTTCCAAACTGTTTGCTTAATGGTATCTACACAGCCACTTGTATAAAAGAACTGTTTCAGAAAAGAAAAATGCTAGCTTCATAAATACAAGGTTCTGGGGGAAATTATGGCTTATAGTATTTTGATTCTCCTGAAAACAAACTGAGGATGTCAGTTTCACAGTGAAATGTGTGTTACATGTGTGATCTCATTCTGAGGTGTCCAGTGCTCTTACTAGGGAAGAAAATGGGACTCCTGAGACTCCTTTGGGAACTGAGACCTGAGACTCGCAGTGAAATTGCAGAGCCTAGGATGTTTACTATGACACAGCAATTGTCCGCCTATAACGTCCGTTTGTTTGAATGGACACTTCTAGAAAGAAAATAATTGGTCATAACATTATTACTGTTACTATAAATTCAAGTCTCAGCTGTGTCTTTCCTGCTGCTCAGCACTTACACTGTCAAACCATTATTTTATTCATCTCTCATTGGTTCCTCAGAGCAGATATATAAATCATTTCCACTCTTCTCAAAATGCTATCACACGTCTTCCACCCTCCTGCATTAGTAAAATTGAGTTCATTTCAATGTACCTCTATCTCAGAGCTCTGTCATTACATACACTCGCTTGTACTTCTGCCTCAAAGAGGGTGTTTGCCTTACTCTCCAAAGCGATTGCTTCCACCTGTATTCTTTTTTTTTTCCACCCGTATTCTTGATCTCAGTAAGTTGCTCTTTGTCTCACATTATTTCATTCTCTTTCTAAAGTCATACTACTTTCCCCCTTCCCCAATTTCTAGAAACCTATGAATGTCTCACCTGACCTAACAGAGAAACCCTCCTCTCTGCTGCCTGCCAGAGGCTCCATCCCATTTTTCCCTTCCTTGTCCACCAGACCTGTCATCACTTCTTACAACCTCTGCTTCCTTAGGATTCCTTAACCACTTTCAGTGTGGCTTCCTTGAGAAAGAAAGGAAGCAAGTCTTTAAAGTAAAAAGCTTTAGAATCAAACACAAGTGGGTCAAATCCACAGCTGGGTCAAGTGCACACTTAATTTATATAAAGCCTTAGAAAAGTCATTAAACCTCTTTCACTCTCACTTTTTCATCTATAAAAAGAATTAAGGCCTGACATGGTGGCTCACACCTATAATTCCAGCTACTCAGGAGGCTGAGGCAGGAAGATCACATTAAAATCATAGGTTTTGGAATCAAATACAAACAGACTTGAGCTCTTCTACCTACATATGGGTGAGGCTTAATTCTAAATTGCTAGTTCCTGAAAATTCTTTTGAGGATGGTGTTACATTCCTAACTAACTCCTTGATATATATTATACTGAGATGCCTCACTGGTACCTCACATTTAATTTTCTAAAATAATTTATCATCTTTTTTTTTTTCTAGACAGGGTCTCACTGTGTTGTTCATACTGGCCTTGAACTCATTATGTAGCCCAGGCAGGCCTCAAACTCCTGGTGATCCTACTGTCTCAGCCTCCCAAATGCTGGGATTACAGATGTGTATCACTATGCCTGGCCTAATTCTTCTTTACCCTCTAACTAACTCCTCTTCCCAGTTTTTACAATCTGATAATGTTGCACCTGTATTTCTCCTAACTAAAGAATCTTTGGCTTTTCCCTATCATTTGCCCTTCCAAATCCAAATAGTAGCCAAACATTGTTTTATCCTGAAAATAGCTTGAGCAGTAATTCCTTCTTCTCCATCCCAACTGCCACCGTCCTCCTGAATTATTCTTATCATCTTTTTATGTAAAACCCCCCCTTTTCAGATTCAAACCTTATGTTGTTACACATCATCCCTTTAATATCTTTAAACCTTTTATTTTGAAACAATTTGAGACATTGAAAAATACTGCAAAAATAGTCCAGAGAGTTCTCCTATATCCTCCTAGCTTCCCCTAATGGTAACAGCTTGAGTAACCACAGTCCAATTATAAAAATCAGAAAACTAATACTGATATAATACTATTAACTAATCTGCTCACCTTATTGAAATTTTCCCAATTGTCCTGCTAATGTCCTTTTTCTGTTACAAGAGCCAGTTTAGGATCCCACATTACATTTAGTTGTTGTGTCTCCTTAGTTTCCTCTATTCTGTGAATTTCTCCATTTCCCTTTGTCCTTTATATTCTTTTTTTTTTCTTAAATTCTTTTATTGGTACATTTTAGATATACAATACATTTACATTTATCATTGGGTGCTTGTACCTCTACATGATGTATCTTGGTTCTTATTTTTTCCCCACTACCTGTCCACCCTTTCCTATTTACATAGACTTTGTTTCCATTTTTTTTCTTTTCTCATAATTTTTCCTTTTCCTTCTTTCCTTTTCCCTTCCCCTCCCACTACTCCTACCCCTTGGACTTTTTCTTCCTATTTCAAATTATCAATTATTCATTTTAATAATTTTAATCCTTATTTACACTTTCAGTTTCTCACATTAGAGAAACTATTCGGTATTTACACATGTGTGTCCTATTTATTTCACTTATCAGTATGGCCTCAGTATGCATCCATTTAGCTATAAATGTCTCTAGTTTCTCGTTCTTTATGGCTAAGTAGTACTCCATTGTATTAAAAAACCACACCTTCTTTATCCAGTTTCCAGTTGATGGGCACTTGGGCTGTTTCCAAGCTTTAGCTATTACGAACTGTGCCACTATAAACATGGATGAACATATATCTCTGTGGTATGATTTTAATTCTTTGGGAAGATACCCAGCAGGGGAATAGCTGGGTCAAATGGGACCTCTAGCCCTAGTTCTTTGAGGTGTCCTTTATATTCTTGAAAACAACTGCCTGGGCCGGTTGTTTTGTTGAAAGTTTTTAAATTTGTTTTTGTAGTGTTTTCTCATTAGATCGAGTTTATATATTTTTGTCAGGAATACATAAGTAATACTGTATCCTTATTGAAATGCAGCACTTGAGGTTCATGATGTCAGTGTGTCTTATTATAGATGATGTTAACTTCCACCACTTAGTTAAGATAGAATCTTCCAGATTTCAGCTCAGGTTATTGTTTTTCCCTATACAATAAAGAAATACTATACCTTTTAGGTAGATGAATTGAGACTAAGCAGATAGATACCCTGTTTCTCATCATACTTTTGTCCACTCACTTTAGAATTCATCTTGATTCTTACTTCAGTAATATTGCTGTGGTAGTTGCCTAATGGTGATTTTTTTTTTTTTTGTACTGGGGATCAAACTTGGGACCTTACACTTGCAATTTTCTATTTTTCATTCCTTCAGCATTTATTAGCTGTAATTTCACTGAAGGAAGAGCTATCTCCTCTCATTATGTATTTATTTGTTCAGTTATTTATATCACTATGAAATAATGGATATTTATCCTATGGCCTGTAATCAGTTGCCATTAGTATTCATTTTATTGCACAGATTGCCTCAGATTTAGTCATTGGTTCTTGTGTCCTTTGAACTTCCCCTTCTATTGTGGAATAACTTTCTTCTTTCCTTGTACCACAAGATGTTCCAGAATCATCTCTTCCTATTTCTGCCCCAGCCTTGGAATCAATCATTTCTCCAAGGAGCTGTGATTTATTTTATTCATCCCCTTAGTTTTTGAAAATGCAATTATGAGCATGAAGATTTGCAATAACTCTTTACTACCACCTGATTAAATTCAAACCACTTAGTCTGGCATTGCAGAACATGTCTGCTCTCAACTACTACCTTTGGTACCTTACCCTTGAAAAAACTAGAATGTTAAGAATTTTCTATGTCAGCCAGTTGAAGTGGAGCTTTCTTTCTGAATTTGTTCTTAATTTTAGTCAGGAATTAATTTTTCCTTTCTCTGGAATTTTATTGTACTTTTCTTTTCTTGTGACATTTATCGTATATCCTTTGCTGTTTGGACCGTACTTTGTTACATTGGTCACATCTTACAGTATGTTTAAAAGTTCTTGAGAGCAGAATCTGTATATTACTGTCTTATTCACTTTTTTTTCCAAATGGTACATTGTGTATACTAGGTATTCATTAAACATTTGTCATATGGATTGCTGGGTGGAACCAAAGTCAGTGGGAGAATCAGACATTTTAGAAATTAAATTTTAAGTGCTCTCACTACCACAGACAGATAACATATTCTTGCTAGAAAAGGTTATTTCATGCATTGAAACTTATGGCTAAGGGCCTTCTGGTAGATTGTGCTTAGTCTCTTTTTTCAGCCTAAACTTATAACCACCACTAAAATTAGAAAAGCTGTTACTAGAGCTTAGTCTAGAATTAAGCTCCAAATGCCTGTAGCCTTTTGGGCCAGATCTTTGAGATTCTGCCCTTCTGAAAGAGAGGAGTGACCTTTGCCAAAGCTTGGTTGTCAAGTGAGTGATTTATGATATATTTGCTTCTTTGGAATATAAAAAAAAAATTGGAGCTCCAAAATTTTTTTTCCTTTTCATAATTTCTAAGACCATTTTCTGTGCCAGCAGAGTTATAAGTCTCTCAAATCTTGGTCTGAAAAGAACTATTTGTTCACAAAGTAGAATGTACTTGAGGAAAATAGCTTAAGCTGAGGAATTTTTTTCTTTTAATGTTAAAACAAAAATCTGACCTCCATGGGCTGGGGATTTAGCTCAGTGGTTCCGCCGCCTGCCTTGCAAACTCAAGGACCCGAGTTCAATCCCCGGTACCAAAAAAAAAAAAAAATTCTGACCTCCTTTTCTGGAAAAATGAAGTTCTCCCCAGAGGGACATCTAGCAGAATTGTGACATGATAATGATCTAACCCAAATAGAATATCTTGTAATTTCTCTCAGAGATTGTTTTAAGAAATGGCAGTGGATGAATATTAGTAGTCTAGACATGTGCATTGAACTGGTGTGACCAGCCACAGGTCTAGATTAACACAGATTTTTCTGTTCTCTCTCCTTAGGTGGATCACTTGGATAAGAATGGGCAGTGTGCTTTGGTTCATGCTGCACTCCGAGGTCATCTAGAGGTTGTCAAATTTTTGATTCAGTGTGACTGGACAATGGCTGGCCAGCAGCAAGGAGTGTTTAAGAAGAGCCATGCCATACAGCAAGCCCTCATTGCTGCAGCCAGCATGGGTTATACTGAGGTAAGAAGAAAAAGATAGGATAGTTTTTCCAAGCTATGTATTTAAGGTCCTAGGAAACCGGGAGAACAGGTGTGCCTGTTAAAGAATTACCATGCAAATTAATACAAATTTTTGGTGGCTACTCTGAGGAATAAAGAGATTAAAGGTCATTAGGCACTTGACTACTCACATGCTAAGATACCTAGAATTGTGGGCGTAGAACAGGAGAGTTAGAACCTTGGAAGTTACCTGATTCAATCCCTCTCCATATTTCCACCCCTATTTACCAATGACACTGAACCACAGAGGAATTAGTTATTGTCACATGGTTAGACAATGTGGAATGAGAAGAACACAATGTGAAAAACCTCAGAAGGCTCAGGTTTTGGTCCTAGCTTTGCTCCTCATTAAATCTAGATCTTGGGTGATTTACCCGATCTCTTAGAACATTAGTTTCCTATCTATAAAGTGAAGTTATTAAATTCTTTTCTTACAAGCTGTTGAGAAAGGTGCTTTGTAAACAGTTAAAACACTACACAAATGGTATTTTTACTAATTTATTTATTAATAATAGTAATGTTAATAGTGGCAAATGTGTGGATTTGGTAGTTTGATGTGAATGTTTAACAACTGACCCTGGGGAGGGGAGTAGAATGGAACAGGTAGGGTATGTGTATGCGTGCATGTTTATAAATTCTACTAATCTAAAAAATATGTTGCACACTTCACAAATAATAAAATACGAAGTATTCTTACTTGAATAATCTGTCAGTTTTTGCCAGATTTGTATCTGTGGCTACCAAATCTGTTGCAACCAAACCATGATTTAACAAATGGAGTTACATCCCATTTTGCTCTTTTCCCAATAATTTTACTGCCGTTATATGTAATATGTGATATACTGCTAAACTACTTGTAATGTTTATGTAAATATATTTATTAAACTGAAGCTTTAGCTTTATCTCTAAGCCAAACACTGATTTATGCTGTTTGCCAATTTCTAGGATATAAATTCTCCCACCATGGCAAATTTCAGGGTACCAGTGTGATAATCACTGAACAAAAAGGTAGAAGCCATTATGTAATATTTCCACTCTATAGACACAGTAAATATAACCTCAGTAGCATAGATAGTAGTAAAATGTAGTTAAATAATTAGGAAGTTATGAGATTTGAGGGGGTTTTGTTTATTTTTTATAGTGCTGGGGATCAAAGCTAGGGCTTCATACATGCTAAGCAAGGGCCCTAACCACTGAGCTACATCTCCAGCTCAAATTTGAGTACTTTTTTACCTTGTTTTTAATGTAATTTATTTAACTATCATTTAATTTTTAATAAATAATTGATTTTATTTAACAGTTGACTTACACAATTTCTGAAAATATAACAGCTCTTAATGGGCCACTACAAACCAGCTCCATACTACTACATTAGAATGGTTAGTGAAATAGCTACCCTGTCAACTGATGTACTATGTCATCAAGAGAATATTAAATAAAATTGAAATTTTTACATTCTATAGAAGATTTTTTAACACTGTCCAGCCAAAATTCTTGGAAATAGAACAAGCCTTTCTCTTTGTGGTTAGCAACCATTGTCCCTTTACTAGACCCAAACAGCCATTCTTCTGAGAGGAAGAATGAAAATCATTCTACTCAGAAGATATATAGCCCCTCAATTTTCTCAGTTGCAGCCTTATTGGGAAGATAAAAAAAATATGTGGTTTTTAAAAATCACATACTGGGCCAGGGATTTAGCTCAGTGGTTTCATCGCCTGCTCCACAAGCGCAAGGACCCGAGTTCAATCCCCAGTACCAAAAAAAAAAAACAAATAAAAATCACATACTATGTAAGTGAATTATGCTCAAAAAAACATATAAACTATCATATAAACTGGTAGAATAAATGCTTAGCAGGGAAATTTTGGGTTTCTGTGCTAAAGACAATGAGTTCTGATGCCTTTTGTGTGCAGGATACTTAATGATACTTGGATTACCAAAGTATCTTCCAGACCTCACAAGCAGCAATATAGCAACATAGTTTTCCATGTCAGGTTTGAGCTTACACAACTTCTTGTTTCAGATTGTCTCCTACCTACTTGATCTTCCAGAAAAAGATGAAGAAGAAGTGGAACGAGCACAGATCAACAGCTTTGACAGTCTCTGGGGAGAGACAGGTACTTCCCATGGACATTGCCCTCTCACGTATTATGTTGTATTTATGTGGACTCTCCAAATCTCATACTCTTATTTTTTTTTCCTCTGGCATACCTTTTACACTTCTGTCTTATGACTTTGGTTTTCTTTTTTGTTGTTTGTTTGTTTTTGGTACCAGGGATTGAACTCAGGACCTTGCATTTGCAAGGCAGGTGTGGTCCCACTGAGCTAAATCCCCAGCCCATTGTTTTCAAGACTGATTCAGCCCAAGATAGGAAATTTCCCTTTTTCAGTCCTTTTCCCTTTGGATTCTCCATATCATTAACAGTTTCAAACAAAACTTTTCCCTACTCTTGTTTCCAAGCATTTTCAAAAGACTGAAAGTTTCCTTACAATGTGCCAAACCAGAGCAGAAAAGAGTTGTGACCTTTCTCTTTTTTATGTAATTTTTGTAGTATTTTTCTCTTTCAAATCACTCTGTCCACCTATAGTTGTATACCAGGAGGTTACGTTGTTATCCCTCTCTGATTTGTTTTTAATGGTGCTGGAGATTGAACCCAGGTAAGACCTCATGAATTCTAGACAGGTGCTCTGCCAGTGAGCTACACTTCCAGCCACATCTGTGTTAACATGGTATCATAGTAGAGTGATAGCTGACACAATTGAGCTTTACATTATAAGTAAAGTTGCTGTCTTTAAAATAAAGGTACCACTCAGTTAAAGCCCAGCCCCATGCAATTCCCCTTGGTTTATAACAAAGCAATTTCTGAATCATTTGGTACTCACTGCAAAATACTTAGCGATACTTGGATGACCCAAGTATCTTCCAAACCTCACAACCATTTGGTACTCACTGCCAAATAGAAGGCTCTTCCTTGTGGCCTTTTCGGGAAATGATTATTGTCTTTCCTCCAAGTCTGAAATACAGCATCTGGAGAAACATTAGTAATCTTTGATGTGTGTTTATGAAATCAAGGCAAGGAAAATGGTCGAGTAACCACAGATATGTGTCATATTTGCCAGGAGAAATAGGCCAATATTTAGATGGGTAATTTAGGGGACGTATTCTACTAAAAAGAAAGATGTGCATTTTGGTTAGGGTAAGAATGTTACTAAAAATAAGATTCTTGAAATCATTTAAAATTTATAACAACCTATTAAATCATGGTATTTCTTCCCATGACAAAATTTCATACAGGTTTCATGACTTCTTTAACATTATCACATGGAATGGTCCAAAGCTCAGGAATTTGCTTCTCAAACAATCCCTCCCTCTGTAAGAGCCAAAGGGAGCAGATGCCAGGCAGCTGCAGCTTAAGAGCTCACGAAAGAGTAAAGGGAAATGTGCAGCTGGAAACAGCTGTTTTCTCTGGAACCCCACTCTTAAGAGAAGCTAGAGGACAGGCTATGGGAAAGGGGATGGCCAGGACATCAGCAGTTTTGAAGTATCCCTATGTGACCCAGAGCTAAAGATTGTGTTGCCTTATTTTTCCTGTCAGCACAACCTTACCCAATACAATGTTGCCATACTCCCAGTAGACCTCTTTTGCCCACAGCATGGGTATGTAACCACTGAGGGTGGCAGAAAGAAAAGTCATGGCCCAATGGTAATCATGAATAGAAATCACAAAGCTAATAGTCAATAGGGCTGGGTATTTAGCTCAGTGGCACTGTGCCTACCTCACAAACGCAAGGTCCTGAGTTCGATCCCTGGTACTGAAAAAAAAAAAAAGTAATGGTGAAGTAACAAAGCTAATAGTCACTATAATAAATATAATATTCTAGTGCTGTACTTGAAAGAAATCTTTTAAAAGCTTCAAGAAGGGAATAAACTAAGTAGAGGACTATTTTTATTAATATGAATTACATATTAGAATAAAACCTTGTGGCCTCAGATTTTTAAAAATATTTTATTAATTTTCATATATATATATATATGTGTGTGTGTGTGTGTGTGTGTGTGTGTGTGTACTATCTCAAAATTTTAAGAAATTAAAACTTAATGTCAGTTTGCTTTTTTTCCTACTTGTAGAATTAATGTAGCAAAAAAAAAAGGCATGATCTCCAGGCTCATGATTGCCTATCTTCTCCAATAATTCCAATTAAAAAACAATATGTTATTTCCTGTAGCATTTTTTCAGTGCCATCTCAGCATGCCCCACTCCTGAATGTCCTCCCATGCCTGTAAGTCTCCTATTTATCGTTCTTCATCTACCTCAGATTATCTTTTCTTCCTGGAGGCCTTTTCAGATACTTTTCCTCCACCACTTCCATACCATGGACTTATCTCTGTTGTGCTTACCACACTGCATAGTAACGCATTATCTGTAATGCATTTTCTTTCTTAGTTGTTTTGAGTGGACTTGACGTGAAATGGCTTTGTTGAGAGCAAGGCATATTTTCTTCACTTGTCTCACTGCTTTCACAAGTGTGTATTTTACCAGGTGATGGAAACAGATCTTCAGCAAGGTCCAAAATTAATTTCTTTGATGGAATGTCTGATAATAGGCTGTCACAGTCCAAAAAATGCTGCTCCTCTTCTTTGGAGTAAAAGCTGCCATCTTCTTAGTTGAATTTCCCACGCTCCACTGAGCTCCACGTCTCTTTGGCCTTCCACGCTCAGCTTGTCACTTGCAGGGGAAACCTGCGCCTCAGTGCCCAGCACCACTCTTATCTGTTTTTCTTCCTCGGCCATGGGTTTGTTGACAGCAAAAACACAGTGTCTGACAAATAGCTCAATAAATGTTTAACTAATGCTTTGGGTAGCAATAATCAGTGTATGTCTCCCCAACCACCTTCCTACCATTGATATTACATGGTGTACTCTTAAGGTTGAAAATAGATAAAAGAGTCATTTACTTCTCTGCAATCTGTTTAGTGTCAGCATCCCATCCAACCAACTTTGGCTATTTCTGCAACTCTGAGCTGCATCATCTCTGCCTCTTTAAACTCTTTAGCTATTTCCCTTCGAGGGGAAAAAACATTTATGTCAGATAATCTCATCAGATGCTAACAAGCTAGGGAACAAATTTTTTTCTGGTCCTTGGAACAAGATTTTGCTCCTGTTATATTTGCTATATTTGCTCTAAGAATCAGTTTGTTACTTTACAGACCTGACTTTACCTTAATCTTTAAAAAAAAAAAACAGTTCTAACAGTTTTTGATAAGACTCATAAAATCCAACCAAAGCAAGTCTTGCTCTTGGAATTTGAAAAGTCCAAACTCCATTTTACATAGTTGTGTTTTTTTGAGATGAAATTGGCCAGCTGTGTTAATGACCATGTCTAGCTATCAGCTGAAGTTTGCTGCCAAATGACATCATAACTTAAGCAACAGAGATAATACAATAAAGAAAAATGCCAAATGGAACATTCCCTCACATAAGAATGTGTTATTCAACAGAGAGAAATGGGCCAAGTAGAGTAATGTAACTGTTGAAGTAAACATATAACTTTGCAGAAGGGCACTGGCTGTGAATACTCAAACATGTTCTGTGAACTGACATCACTAATAAGAGGCTTGATTCTGAAATATCTTTTATTTTCTCCAGGGTGCTATAGATTCTTTGGTGAAAAATAATGTATTTGGGCCTGCACACATAGGGAGGTTTGCAGCAGCCCTATCACCTAGTAGCTACTTTATATAGGATAAGAACAAAGGAGTAGTTTGTTTAATGTACTAACAAAAAGATTCTTATGATATCCATATCTATCCCTGTCAGCTTCTTAAACTACTCTGGTGTTCTAATCTATATACACATGAGGTTTTTTCCTGAACTTTTAGAAATAAGAACTTGGGAAATAAAGAAGATCACATGGATTTAAAAGAATCAGGACAAAACTTCTTTGTCAAGTAAATAATTATAGCCATTAATCCGTATGCTCATTCAGAGCTTGAAAATGACTTTCACCCTTAGATAAGACCAAGCCTCTGCCCTCCTGTGAAGAACTGAACAGAAATGGCAGTGTCAATTCTGAAATAAAATTTAAAATACACACAAGACAAGTCATAAACCTGGTTTAAGAGTGCATATATCTTGGAAAATTGTCACACTTCTTAAGCCCATCTTATCCTTGGAAAAGGAAAAGATTACTTTAAAATTTATCTTTGTGGAAATTATAGGTGATTTTAGCTTTAGTTTTGTAGAAGATCTAGTTGTGGACAAATTAGACCAAACCCCAAGACAAGATTCTGTAATTTTCACTTAAATGGAAAAATAGTAAAGTGACCATTTGATTTGAATTTCAGTGGCTTTTCTGATTGGATTGCAACATTTACAAACTGAAATACCCGCATCTGCCAAATACTATCATTTTCTGACCTGTCATTTGAATAGGTGGTCATAATGAAGGAAGGACTTTTGTCTCCCACATCAGTTTTCCAAGTCAATTTGAGGAAGGAAATAAAACTCTTTTCTTTAAAATGAAGTATAACTCCTGTCATCTAATAGTTTTCCATCTTCCCTTCATCCATTCTATAAAATAATAAATTATGCATTTTGAATTTCCTGGATAAATAAAATACCTATTTGTTAAAAGATGGACTTACTATCTGCAAGTTCCTTTTTCTCCTATTAAGACAGCACACTGAGGATGTAATAGACACTTAGAGACACTCTGCTGTATCAAGATCATAAAATAATGTTTTTCTTCCTTTTGTATCCTTTACACTTTTTTTTTTTTTTGAGACAAGGTCTTGCTAAGTTGCCAAGGCTTGGCTATAACTTGAACTCCTCCTGCATCAGCCTCTCAAAATGCTGCAATTACAGAAATGCTCTACCATACATGTCCAGCTGTCTCCTTTATTTTATATTCAGAAGAAAATACTTTATTACTTTCTCACCTTCAAGACTGTTATCTTGAACACTTCTGATCCTCATACAAAAAAATGACTGCAAATAGAGGAGAAACTTGTATTTCAGTTAATGAGGAAGGAAGAAAGAAGGGAGAGAGGCAGGCAAACAGGCAAGCAGAAAAACATGCCCAGCTACATACAGCCTTTAGACTGCAATTTCTGACTTTGATTCCTTGGGTTTGAGAGCTCAAGAGCAGAAGTCAGCCAGAGATGGTTCCTAGCTGACTCTAAAAAAGACTTCAGTTCTACATCTCTTCTCTCTAGATACCACTTACACATAGACTACCAGAAGGTTTATAGCTAGGATGAGGCATCAGAAGAGAGGTAAGCCAAAGCAGAGAAGACAATCTGGGTACAAAAAAAATTAAACCAAGTGAGTTTGACAAAGATGATCTTTCAATAGATTATTATGATTGCCCTAGATGTTGTGAGCCCATTTAAATATTTTTATTCTTTACTTTCCTTTAAAAGAAACTTCCTTCCACAGGCCATGGTGGGGTACACCAGTAATCTCAGCACTTTGGGAGACTGAGCCAGAAGGATTACAAATTCAAGCCCAGCCTAGGCAGTTCAGCAACTTTAGCAAGACTCTGTCTCAAAAAATAAAAAAGGTCTATGTATGTAGCTCAGTACAAAGGCCCTGGGTTTGATTCCCCAGTATCAAAAAAAAAAAAAAAATTCTTTGGATAGGCAGTCACAATCACTATTTTGAAGGTAAACCAGCAATTACATAAATATTTGGAAGTACCTAAAGACCATGCTTAATATTGAGGTCTAAAAAGGACAAGAACCTCCTAACCTCAGTCTTTGTTCTCTGCCCTCAGCCCTGACAGCTGCAGCCGGAAGGGGTAAACTGGAGGTGTGCCGTCTGCTCTTGGAGCAAGGTGCTGCAGTGGCCCAGCCAAACCGCCGAGGGGCAGTGCCCCTATTTAGCACTGTTCGCCAGGGCCACTGGCAGGTAAGGTAGTAACTTCCAGCCCCTTGGGCAGGAATGAGTCCCACGTAGAAACTTCTGATGCAAAGAATAAAAAGATCACAAATTTTGGTTACCTAGAAGTCATCAGGTTTGAGGATGTGGGCCTTTGTTACTAATATTCTTCTTAATTGAGGTGATAAAAAATTAACATTCAAAACCATCATTGTGATCTAGATTGATGACCTACCTTTATCCTCATCTTGGAGTAACCTCATTCTCACATTTCACAGTATCCACAAGATCAGTGAAAAGTTCATTTCTCAACAGATATCTGTTAGCCATTCACTGGCAGGTGTCTTAGACTTGCTAAAAGAAAATGTAGTACATGCACATTCTAGCTATGTGATCTTTCCAGGTGTTTGGATTATGGATAAATGCTATTTAGGATGGAAGAGAAAGCATACTGATAAAAATCTTTAAACGTATTTGACTAGGAAAAAGAAGACTCTAGAAAACAAAAGTGCTAAAGAGGTATCAGAGGCACTTTTTTGTAGTCACTCCAGTGGTAAATATTCACTGCTACAGGCAAGCCTGTAGCTTCTTCAAGATTAATAAAATAACACTGACAATAAAATGGCTGTGATTTGTGTGGAGCTTCCATTACGATGTTTAATTACATCTTCACTTTTTTTTCTTTCTTCTTTTTTTCTTTCTTCTTTTCTTAGTGGCTCAGGCAGATATTCAGAGATGAATCCTCATTTCACTATCTCTAAGATAACTAGAGATAAGGGCCAGGGATTTAGCTCAGTGGTTCCGCCACCTGCTTTGCAAGCGCAAGGTCCAGAGTTCAATCCCTGGTACCAAAAGAAAAAAAGAAAAAAGATAATTAGAGATTATTAGGGTCCACATGGCACTAGGACTGTACAGGTACTTATAGGGAGGTTCTTAGAGTAGAAAGCTACTTACAGAGATCCCTCCTCTGTATAGCAGAAGTACCTGTTAGCTGATCAACATGTCTTTTCAACAGATTTTCTTGAGCAAATCGGTCCCTGTTCCTCTCCACTTTCAGATTGTTGATCTTCTGCTCACCCATGGAGCTGATGTCAATATGGCAGATAAGCAAGGCCGCACTCCTCTGATGATGGCTGCTTCTGAAGGCCATCTGGGAACTGTTGACTTTCTACTTGCACAAGGTCAGTCCTGGAATACAAGATCTAGGCAATCAGTGCCCATAATTATCCACTAAAGTCCTGATTTCCAGCAGTAGACTCTAGGAGATGTTAAGAATGGATTATTAATCTAGTTGATTAGAAATTGAAAGGTTATCTCCTGTCCTCTTATGTACAGTGGAATCCTTCCATCTTTGAAATTTTCTATTTCCTTATGTCCTGAGGAATTTAAATCAGGTTATCATGTTCTGAACTCTTTCAGTCAACTTAGTAATCTTCAAACTTTAATTTTTTTAAATTCAATTCAATAATTGTTCATCTTCCAGGGATTTTAGTTTGACTTTCTCAATTCTTTTGTAAACCTACACAACTCCTATTTTTCTTAAATCTGAAGAAGACAAAGAGAAGTTAAGACACCTGTTAACAGTGGGACTCTATTTGGGGAATCCGGATATTACTATGAAGCTGTTATGATAAGTTCTTTTTGACACTTAACAATATCCACAAATTCATGGAATGGGAACTAAGTTAAAGGAAATGGTATTATATGAGCTTGATGAACTTTTTCTCCTGTAGAGATCCACCCTCATAGAGCATTTCAGGCTCTTATTATTGCTATTACCTTAGCCACCTGTACAAAACAGTGATTGGTTATATCAAGAATCAACAAATGTGATTATATAAAATTTTAAAGTTTCTGCACAGCAAATGAAACTACTGTCAGAGTGAAGAGGTAACCTACAGTATGAGAAAAAAATTTGCCATCTGCTTCTCAGAGGGATAATATCTAGAACATATAAAGAAATAAAATCTGGAAAAAAAATAAATAAAATCTGCCCCCCCAAAAAATAAAAGGTCCAATTTTTTTAAAAGGCAATTGAAATGAATAGACACTTCTCAGAAGACATACAAGTGGTCAATAAATACATGAAAAATACTCACCTTCGGGGGCCAGGGATTTAGCTCAGTGGTTCCACCGCCTTCCTCGAAAGCACAAGGTCCTGAGTTCAATCCCAGGTACCAAAAAAAAAAACATTCATCTTCTCTGGCCATCAAAGAAATGCAAAATAAAACAACATTGAGACTCTGTCTCACTCCAGAAAGAATGGCTATCATCAAGAAATCTAAAAATAAAGCTAGGAATAGTAGCACATGCCTGTAATCCCAGCACTCAGGAGGCTGAAGCAGGAGGATCACCATGAGTTCTAGGCCAGCCTGGGCTACATAATGAGTTCAAGACCAGCCTAAACTACACAGCAAAACTGTCTCAAAAAAACCAAACAAACAACAAAGAAAGAAGTCAAACAATAACAAATACTAGAAAGGATGTGAGGGAAAAGGCACCCTTCTGCATTATGAGTGGGAATGTAAACTAGTATAACCACTATGGAAATCAGTATGGAGATACTTGAAAAAGCTAAAATTAGAAATCCCATTCAATCCAGCCATTTATCTTCTAGGTATCTTCCTGAGAGAGTTGAAGACATCATACTTTAGCAATACATGAATATCCATGTTTACAGCAGCACAACTCATAATAGCTAAGTCTTGGAAATAGCCTATATACCCATCAACAGATAAATGGATAAAGAAAATACGATATTTACATACAATGGAGTACTGCTCTACCATAAAGAAGGATAAATCTAGTCCTTTGTAGGAAAATGGATGCATCTTGAGACCATAATATTAAGTAAAATAAATCAGACACACAAGCTCAAATATTGCATAACTTCTCTTATATAAAAAACCCAATGAATAAATAATTTGAAGAGCAAAATAAGGTAGACAACAGGAAACAGATCTTGTACAGATGGAATGGGAATCTAGAGGTGAAGGAAAATTTTAAAAATTAAGATAAGTTATATATATATATACACCTACTCCCCCTTCCAGTGAATGTAATCATTATGTACTGTAAACATATACAAAAAAAAAAGAAAAACAGACCTCAGTAGTAGAAACAAAGCTCCTCACTGGTAACACTACAGTGCCATCTAGTGGAGCCTTAGCATTTGCACGAAGCAGGAGGTAACAAAGTGACTAAATTATAATGACTTTATTACAGTTAGCCTCCACTATTAGTAAATTGGACTTAAACATGTACACTAGCACATACAACTTCCTTCAAGGAAACCAACCTCCCAGAGCATTATGCCCAGGCCTAAGCAGCTGAGAAAGTCGAACTAGGAAGAGAACTAGGTTTCTTCTAAGATGTCCAGCCCATTTGGAAACTCATTAGATCTTTCACAGAAAATCTGTTGCCTTAACCTCAATCTCAAGGGTGTGTCAGACACAGAGAGTTGCTCTGCCAGTGTACAAAGTGGCTCTTGTCTCCCCATTGCAAACTACAAAACAAGTCTGGCATCATGATACCTATACTCATTTCTGCTTGGAAAAGGGAAAGGCTTTGGGGATAAGGGAAGGGAATGTGCCTAGATTCTCAAGATTAAATTTAAGTGGCAAGTAGAATTGTTCAGAACAAACCATTTCTACTGGAAAAGGCAAGACCTCTTCAGCTACTGATAACATTTAGATAGCTGCATTGTCTGCCATCTGCCAGTAAAAGCTCTTTAGGCACTGATTCTAGAGATTTGTTGTTCCTTGCTACTAAAAACATTCTGGTCTTTGGACTAGTTCATTTTTTTTTCTATACTTAGTGAGAGGCTTTCACTAAGTCCACACATTCTACACACATTTAGCCTACATTATTTGTAGAATAATATGGTAGAAACCATGCCTGTTTTTTTTAATTAATAATTTGAACCCTCACAGGGTCTATAATATGGCAAAGAAAAGATGAAACAAAAACAAATACCTTAAAAGGCAGAGACGATGGAGTATTAACGTGCCCTAAAGAAGAATAAATTTGAGTCATTTGTAGAAAAATGGATGCCCTTTGAGACAATGTTAAGTGAAGTAAATCAGATATACAACCTTCAATATTGCAAGTCTTCTTTTTTTGATTCTTTTATATGAGAAACCCAAAGTATAACTTAAAGAACAAAATAAAAGACAGATAATAGGAAACAGGGAGCTGATCTTTTGCACACAGGAAGAAAACAAAAAGATGGAGGGAAGGGGGAGTAAAGAGAAGGGAAAGGGGAGTAAAAATTAAAATGTTATGTACATGTACCAACTCCCCATGATGAATGTAATCATGTACAGCAAACTCGTACTAATAAAAAATTTTTTAAGAAATTATTAAACTAAATAGATTTTTAAAAGCAGAGAATCATAAGTGTTCAAATAAAGGTAGTTGAGTTAGACTTTGACATTTGAATAGAAACAATATTTAGGAAGAGGAAATAACATAAATGAAAGATCAAGGAAGAATAACACAATAACTTTGAGGAAATAGGCAGGTTTTCTAGTGTATGAGGACTATTGGAAAATAAACCTGGAAAGGTATGTTAAAAAAAAAATGGGAAATGGCCAGTTTAAAAGAATTTGGAGAATTTGGGTGTGATGGTGTACACATGTAATCCCAGCACTTAGGAGGCCAAGATAGGAGGATCGACATGAGTTCAGGGCCAGCCTGGGATACATAGTTCAAGACCAGTACATAGAACATCTCAAAATTTAAAAATTGGATTTACCTCTGCAGGAAGTAGAGCAAGTCTTTAAAGGCAGAAGTGAGGCTGGAGGTACAACTGAATGATATTGCTTGCACCCACAAGACCTTAGGTTTTTAAAAGAGGAATTTATGCCACAGTTATACTTTTTTTTTTTTTAATCACCATGGTAGTAGTATGAGTAGTAAATCTGTTGAAGGAATAGTGGGGCCAGGATATCAATTAGAATTAGAATAGGTGAGACATAATGAGGTCCTAATACAGGGGCAGTCGCTGTCAGAGTAGAACAAAACGGCCAAGTGCAAGAAATATTTTAGACATAAAGACTAATTTATATGTAGGAAATAAGATGGATTAAAGGGCTGACAGTAACTCCAAAATTGCAAAATGGATGTTACAAATTTAGATGGATGAAAATGATGATTTCATTAACTGCATAGAAAAGAGATTACAAATCAAATTTTGGAAGTATTGATTAATATTTCCAAATTTGGAAGTGTTATGAATTTGCATCATATGTACATCCTTTTAATTTCTTAAATTCCAACTTCCTTATCTTTGGAAAATCATATATATTTAATACCTCCTTGTCCTTCTGTTTTTTCTATCCAGGGAAACTGTCCAAGGAATTTATAAATATTACATCTGAGAAAGCTCTTGGCGTCTCTCCTATATTCAGATTCATTCCATGTTAAAGTCAGTGTTTTAATTTGTAAACTAAACCATTATGAGAAGGGCTTTCACTAGGGTTAGAGGTATTATACCTTCTAGCTTTTCATCCTACCATGAAAAGCCACATAGTCTCCTGACCTCTAGGGATACAAAAGTGAGAGCTCAGATAACTGTGAGCCTGGCTGTGATGGATCTTAAGCTTGAACTGACATCTGAATCTTACTCAACTTACCAGGCAGCCTGGAAGGTGTTCTGTGTGCATTAAGTTGATCTCGAGGTAGTAAATATGAAGTGCCATCTAGCGGGGGAGGGTTGGTCTTAGGTACCCTTCAGAACTGTCAAAGAAATGATGGGCTCCTTGCCATCAAGGACTTTCAGTCTAGGCCCAAGAACCAAACACATACTGAACTTAGATTGCTTACAAAGCAGTATTTCTTTTATTTATTTTTTTAAATTTTTTTGGTACCGAGGATAGAACTCAGGACCTTATGCTTGCAAGGCAGTCACAGCACCACCACTGAGCTAAAGCCCCAGCCCTACAAAACAGTATTTCGAGTACTCTGGATCCTTATAGATAATACAAGAATAGTTGACCAGAAACAGATGTAAAATATAAAAGGGACTAGGAGGATAGGAATGAGGTTGTTGAAGAAGGCTGCACATATATAGTAGAATGGCTAAATCAAGCCATTTATCATATCTATTACTACATGTAAATGGTTTTCATTACTGTTGTTGCAGAAACACTTAAATCTCTTAGCAATTTTCAAATATATAATATTTTACTATCAGTTATAGTCTCCATCATGAACTCTTCCATTCCCCAACCTTTGGCAAACACTATTTTACTTTTTATGAGCTAGCCTTCCCCCCACCCCATTACTGAGGATTGAACTGGGGCACTCTACCACTGAGCTACACTCCCAGCCCCACCCCACCCCACCCCTTTTTTTTTCTGCTTTGAGACGAGTCTCACTAAATTGCCCAGTCCTGCCGCAAAATTGTGATCCTCCTGACTCAACTTCTTGAGTAGCTAGGATAACAGGTGTGTGCCGCCAAACCCAGCTGAGCTGGACTTTTTTAGATTAAATTCAGAATTTCTTTTGTGACCTGAGCTCAGTATCCTTCCATGAGTACATTTCCCCCACTTTGTAGGGAGAAACTGGCCTAGTACTATCATCAATGATAAACATCTGCTGAGCTTCTATTTTATGACTCTCTCGAGTTTACATTATTATAAATGGAAGACTTTCACTCAGTTCAGAAAACAGTCACAATAGGAATTAGTTATATACAAATGGGTTACATAAAAACAGATAACAATATGTTATGCAGATTCAAGATGAAGTAATAGTGAACTGGGAGAAACTTCTTGGAGGCAGGGAGATTTGAGATAATTTCTAACACATGGGTAAAAGTGAGGCAAGTCATGGAGAAAAGATATTCTACATGGGACTAACATAACCAGAAGTGAGAATTCAAAAACATTATGGGAGATTCTAGAGGCACTGAGTACATCTGTTTGGCTGAAGTAGAAGATTCTCACAGGGGAGTGTTGAAACTTAAAATTGGAGACTAAAATTGAAGGTTGTGGAAGAGACCTACTACCCAGGGCAACTGAGCTCTATTGCCCATTTATAGGATCAGTTCTTTACAATGGAAGCATCCAGAAACAAAAGGTATTCTTTGGCAGAACATGTACTTTGAGGACCACCCTGCCATCATGAATTTTCCTGTTTTCTTAGTTCTGCATTAACACTTGCTTTTATAGGTGCCTCCATTGCTCTAATGGATAAGGAAGGGTTGACAGCACTCAGCTGGGCTTGTCTGAAAGGCCATCTCTCAGTAGTACGCTCGCTAGTGGATAATGGAGCTGCCACAGACCATGCTGACAAGAATGGTCGCACCCCACTGGACCTGGCAGCTTTTTATGGTGATGCTGAAGTGGTGAGTGCTTTTAAACAACCTCGAGAGTAAGGACAGGGACTCTTCACCATCAGTAATACTCACTGGGGTTAAAGGTGAAGTCATATTTTAATGATTCCTGGGGTAGGGTTCTCAGAGCTATACTTGCTAGAGAGCAATAATATGCAAAACACTATTAAAGACCAAGAATATAGCTATGGCTTGAAATACTGTGGCTGTACAGCCTGGTTCAGACTAGCAGTTGAGTAAAAGGCAGGCACCAGCCAGCTCCCTCAGTGAAGCAATGCTGAGCAATGCTGCACCCTATTAACTGTTCTGCTTGATTCATGTTGTAGGTCCAGTTCCTGGTGGATCATGGGGCCATGATCGAGCACGTTGACTACAGTGGAATGCGCCCTTTGGATAGGGCAGTAGGGTGCCGGAACACTTCTGTTGTTGTCACTCTCCTGAAGAAAGGAGCCAAAATAGGTAGGAAAAGAAAGGTGGTGTTGGCCATCTGTGCCCAGAGGCCAGACTGGTCCAGTGGTCTGACCACCCAGGGTGTTTAGTGTGGTTGTTTATAGTTCCCTCTACCCTAAGCCAGCTATTGTCCAAGTGAGCAAAAAGACTTCTGGCCCAGAGAGCTCCATCTGAGCCATGGTCTGTCGTACTTTGCATCCAGGTTCTCTGCCATGCCCCTTGTAGCTTTAGCCAGGAGGCTGTGCTAAACTTAAACACATCTCAGTGCTGCCTCTGTACCAGCCCCACACTGTGAGCATCCTGGAACCCTGCAGTGCCATGAGCCTTTGCTTTCCCTTGCTCTGAATGTGCTTCAGATTCTCAAGTCCCTGCTGCCTCTGTCCCAGCTGCTCCCCCACCCCACAGACCTGTAGATAAGGGTTGGCTGATATGCTGGCTTTTTTGCTGCCTGCCTCTCACTGCTGCTTTTTCCTTCTTTTTTTTTTTTCACCTTCATCCATTTTTTTTTCCTCTCCTACAACTTTTTGTTTTCTCCTTTCTTTGAAGGTTGTCAGACGTTACCGAGTCGCCCACGAGGTATATTTCACCGCTGTCAGCATCAGGCGTGGTCTGATGGCTTGGTCAGCTTTGCCTTCTCCTTTTAATTTTAGCCTGCATGAGTTCCCTACACCTCTAATCTTTTAATTTACTTCACCTTAAAAGAAGATTTTTTTTTTAATGACTGTTGTAGAGAATAACTTGAACTTTTGATAACTAACCCTGAAAAGCTTAGTTGGTAAATAAGCCCTCTGTAAACTAATCAATTTAACCTTCTCTTTCTTTTGTGGGTAAAGTAGTCCTCAATAATGTTGGTTTGTTTCACAACTATTTGACATTTAAACTGTGCTCCTGGTTCAGAGTGAATCTCAGCAAGTCTGATTTGGTACTTATAAATTAAAGGAGCCTTTAGAGTCTTTACTGGTTTCCCTTCTGCAAAATACATATTTAAAAATTAAGAGTCTAAATATCTGGGAGGTTTGAGTCCCAAATCAAAAATAAATTACCTTTTTCAAATCTTGTAGTAACCTTTAATATAAATCCTTTCTCCCAATTTCTTGATGTAAAATAATTCCACACTATGCCATTGTGTGCCCATATGCAACACAAAGGCTCCACTGCCTTCCTGTGGTGCAAACTCGACAGTTCAGATATTCTTATTTTAAGGTGAATACAAACCCAATACAGCTTCTTGGCAGTGGGAGTCATTAAAATACTCCCAGGTCTAAAAGATGAGGTAATTATTGTGGAGCAAGTTGTTCTCTCAGCAGAAATTCCCCCAGGATGTTTTTTTCACATAGCTTCCTACCACCCTTACATTGTATGAGTTTTTTACCCATCATGCATCCTGTACACTACAGGTCCAGCCACATGGGCGATGGCCACCTCCAAACCAGACATCATGATCATCCTGTTGAGCAAGCTGATGGAAGAGGGGGACATGTTTTACAAGGTGAGGGCAGGAGGAAAATTTTCCTCAAAAAAAACCACTGTTTTTTTATATGTAGAATCTTCTAAATCTTGACAGTTATCACACCGTGGCTAGAGAACAAGGTAGAATGCCATTCCTCAGTGATTGGCTCCAACATTGAAGAGCCTGGGGTTTTGCCTTCCCAAGAAGAGTAACCTACCTTTGCCTGCAACTCATTAACCTAAAGCCAATAGTTTTATCTGGTCTTTAACAGGTGGTAACATCAATTTTACGTGGAATCTGTTAAGTGGAAATTTACAGGACAAATAAAAATAAAATTACATAGTGTAGCTATTTCCAGTCTATTGATTGTAGCTTTCATATTTAATATATACATAGATTTAAAAAGTCAGTAAATATGATAGCGTATCAGCATCCTTGAATAAAACAATGAAACTAAGAGAAATAGCAGTTGTAAGATTTGCTTAATGTCACTGCACTGAATGACAACCAAAACAGTCTTTTGCACTCATAACTCAAGCTGAAGTCTCCATACCCTGACATAAATGTGTCCCATAGAAAGTTCCTTAAGAATATTCCATGTCAGAGTCATCTCATGATGTTTAGATTAGCTGAATCATCTTCTCCTGAAGATGAATGCAGGTCCAATCCATTCTTTAATAATGAGCATCCCTGAGGGCCAGGGATTTAGCTCAGTGGCACCAATGCCTGCCTCACAAGCATAAGATCCTGAGTTCCGATCCCCAGTACCAAACAATAATAATAATAAGCATCCCTGAGACATTCCCAGGTCCAAAAAATGAAGAAATGATTGTGAAGCATGTTATCCCCACCATATGTCAGAAGTATACAAATTCTTGGGCTCAGAATTCTATGTCCTGAATACCCTTTGAGTGAGAGTCATGCTAACTTTAGGACTCTCAGAAAGTTTAAGCCCTGACCCAACTTTGATTTTATGTTACTTCAAAGAAAGCTCTCATTGTTCTAGATGTCATATTTATGTAACTTAGAGTGGCATTGTTCTCAAAAATCTTAAGTCTTGGTCATAGCATGACTTCTGGTATTCCAAGGCAAAGAATCTGACCTAATGAAAATAAGCAGAGCTATTATTATTCCCACTCAGAATTCTACTCTGGAAGACTCCAGTTTTCTCCTAGAAAACATGCTAAAGGGAGAGTAAAAGATTGCAACCTGGGTAGTTGCAGCAATACAGATGGAATACAGTGAATAAAGGCAGGAGATGCCTTCTGTATCTTTCTGGACTCAACTTACAGATTTTCAGATACAAAATGGAATAAAAACTCAAGGCCCCTGTGTCCAGATCCTTAACTTGGTCATAGATTTACTTCATCTTCAAAGACCTTTTTTACAAAGGAAGATGGAATCACCAAAAAAAAAAAATGTTTTGGTAGTACTGAGGATTAAAACCAGTACTGAGCTATGCCACCAGCCTGGTGTTTTGTTTTGTTTTATATTTTATTTTGAGATGGTCTCACTAAGTTGCCCAGGCTGGGCTCAAAGTTGCAATCCTCTTGCCTCCTAGATAAAATCACAAATTCTAAGCTTCACTTCTCTACAACCACGTATCCTGTTCCTTTGCCCCCTTCCTCAGGGGAAACTAGTTGACATTATTTTCTACCATGAGATGAGGGAAGCAACACCTAGACCATTTTAGCTCTCATACTCTTTATGAAGAAGAGAATGAGCTCTTCTGGAAGACAGCATAGTAAACCATCGGACAGGAAAAGAATCTCCAAAGCAGAAACCAAGGGAGACACAGTAACCAGGGAGTGCGTAGAGACAGCCGTTAAGAAAAATCAACTTTGTAATTGTTTTTTTTTTCTTTTTTGGTACTGGGGATTGGACTCAGGACCTTGTGCTTGCAAGGCAGGCACAGTGCCACTGAGCATTGAGCTAAATCCCCAGCCCAAAAAATCAACTTTGAAATGAACAAGGACAGCCCTTTGGAATCAAGTTGGGAAGCTGGGTGCAGAACCTTCCCTTTGTCAAGGCTTTGATTCACTGGCTTGAAACTTGAGTATCCCTTTCAACCTGACATTTCCTACCAGGAGAGTTATCTTTAGAAAAGACTAGACCTGAGCTGGGGATATGGCTCAGTTGTACAACACTTCTCTAGCATGTGGGAAGCCCTGGGTTTGATCCCCAGCACTGCCAGGGGGGAAAATATAGAAAAGTAAGAAAAGACTAGACCTTCTACTCTCACCATCAGGGTATGTGATAGACTAAACCCTTACTAACAACTGCTGAGAGCAGGAAGGGAGGAGGGATGAAACTTCCTCAGCTACTTCACAGACCAATGGTATGCTTTTCCATCTTGTACCTCCTTAGAAAGGTAAAGTAAAGGAAGCTGCCCAGCGCTACCAGTATGCACTGAAGAAATTCCCTAGAGAAGGGTTTGGTGAGGATTTGAAAACCTTCCGAGAGCTAAAAGTGTCTCTCCTCCTCAACCTCTCTCGATGTCGCCGGAAAATGAATGTAAGTCTCTCTCATCCCAACTGTTTTCTTCAGTCCTGGAAATTGAAAGTTCATGCCACTCACTAGCTTGTACCAGGCCCCTGAAATCCTCTCTGCCCCATTCGGAACTTGGTTGTCCTTCACAGAGCACTGACATTTGCAATTTGAAAGAAATCAAGTCTAAGTGTACTCCATTTTTCAAGCTATAGTGCGCACTTTGTAGCATTCTGAATTTTTGTAATTTCCACTGAAAGTAATTGGAATACCATCATCCCCATCCCTTCCCTACCAAGTCATTTTTTGGGGAAAACGTGGGGGCAGTAGTCTCTAGATTTTAGTCATTGCCCTCCTTTCTAGTATATGTCCCACTCATTTATTTAAGGGCTAGGAACAGGGCTCAGAAATATCAACTTCAAGGTTTAATTTCTAAAGCTATTCTTGAACTTTTTCCTTTCTTCTGCATCTTTTTATTCCAGGATGCCATGTCTCTTCTTACCCTGGAGGGAATCTTAGAACTCTTCCTGTCCTTTGTTATCTCCCTCTGTAGTTGTCCTTGCTTCTTGCTTGCCTTGCAGATAGTCAGAGGTGCCCTGAGCTACTGCTCCTTTAACCTGAAGACACTCTTAATCTAAGAAACCTCTCTCACAATCTAAGCTAAGTATGTGAGGAATAGCTAAGATCATGTGAGAAATTGCTGATATCCATCAGCCTTTGGTCTCACAGTTCCTCAGTAGATAGAAATAATTCCAAGTGTTGACTGGTAAAGAACTCAGCTGCACAAAAACAATGTTTCAGCTGACAAGGAACCTGCATCAGTTCCAGAAAGATTGTGGATATGACCTTTATATCATCAGTCCAAGCCCTAAAACCTAACAGTGAAGAAAGCCTCAAGATGGACTTGGCCATCTCAGAAGACACAGTTATGGCCTTCAGAGGCAGAGTTGTCCCAGGGTGCTGAGACGAGTGGGGACATGAAAAGCGTCCCTTTTGTAAGGCAATATCTCCAGTGAAGGCAGCAAAGTGTTTCTGCCTGAGTATTTTCTTATGAAACAGAAGCCCTAAGGGTCTCCTATGGTTCCAGCTAGTGAGAATAAGGCAAAGCTCAGAAGCTGCTGCCAGCTTACTGACTTTTTTTTTGGCCCTATCAAGTAATCTACTCCTTAAAGGTACTTTCAAAATCCCAAAAATAATTATTGTTCCAAAAGAAATAAAGTATGAGACGGGAAACAGGAAAGTTGGTAGATGGCCCATATAAATTGGAACACTTTCATTCTAGCACTACGTTTGTTTAGAAAGCTAGGAATTATCTCCCATAGGCCAGTCAGTGCTACACTAAGTACCAGAAGTCTGTCTCCTTCCATAGAAATTTTCCCACTGTTTCTTTTTAATTTGCCTATCCCCCAGGTCCTTTGTTCTGCTTCAATCATAAGTATAACCAGAGGCTACAGTGCTATACTATGGCTTTGATATTAAAAGAAAAAAACCTCCCCTTTAGTTTAGTATTTAAGGGGATCTTAAAGACCATGGACTTTCCAACTCAGCATTGTCCCCCAAATCGCTGTTCCCAAGGATTCTCAGAGGGTAGATAGCTTAAAGACCATGTTCCTCTAGGGGACTTTTAGGAATAGCAGACCCCACAACCAGCATCCTCTTTTTTTTTTTTTCTTTGAAATGTTTCATAAATAAGGAAGCAGGCAAGAGGAAGAACAAGCTAGAAAAGCCTCTGTAAAATGGGAAATAAAATTTATTGAGTATCTACTACATGCCAGGCACTATGTAGATCACTTAAATGCTTTATCATGTTTAATCCTACCTTGGAAAGAGATACGGTTAAGAAAATACACAGCACACTCTGAGGAGTTATGAAGCAGCCAGAGATTGAGCCCAAGTCTGCCTTCATCATCTAGTCTCCATGGTCAGTGCAGTTCACCTACTCAGAAATCCTCCTGGATTCTGTAGGATGCATTCTCCATCATACCTTAGGAAGCCAGGGTCTAGTGGGTAGGTGCAGGGGTAGGCCCGAGGTTCCCATGAGGTGGCACTGTCTGTGGGTTTGCATCATACATGCATATGGAACAAAACTTCAGATTTCCAACTTCAGAACTTTCACTGTAAAGGATTGGTATTTGGCTTCTGAGCTAAAAAGAATTTGCTAAAAACACAAAGAGATGCCAAATTAAGTGTTTTAATACACTGGGCAGATGAAGTCCAGTGATCAGTTGTAGAACCACTCAGGGCAAAGGCAGAAGGAAACTTTTAGTCTGTGGGCCACATGGCCAGAGCCATGTCAGGCATGTCCAGAATTCCAGGTGTTCCATCTATAAATGTCAAAGAAATGTGCATATAATTTGTTTTATTCCCAAGTTGTCTATTTTTTATATCTCTTCAATGACTCATTTGCACACCTATTGTAATGACAGGATTTTGGAATGGCGGAGGAATTTGCTACTAAGGCCCTGGAGCTGAAACCGAAATCTTATGAAGCTTACTATGCAAGAGCAAGGGCAAAACGCAGCAGCAGGTGAGGAGAGAGAGAGAGGGTGAAAAGCAAGAGGTCTCTTTTCTGAAAATCTGGCCAAGGCAATGTAGGCCACCCTGGGGCGTATGTACCCAAACATGTCTGTCATTGAGGCCCAGGCTTTGGGAATGGCTCCCATAGCATAGCACTCAGCTCAAGATCAGTAAATCTTTTGGGCTGTGGAGACCAAGAACAATTTACTTTGGGAGAAAAGTAGATAATGGCACCTTCTTCCAAAAAGCCTCTGCCATGTCTCAATCACTTTTCAACCCCAAAGCAGATAGCATGAAAGGACATTAATGATTTAAAGAGATCACTTAAGCAAATTATCCCACCAAGCCTTTTAAGGGGAAAGGCAGGATGGATCACCTAGCATTGTAGACTCCTCTCTTTTTTTATAGGCATTTGGGGACTTCCTGAATTATTTAGTCTTCCTTTTGGGGCACTCCTCAAGTCTGGTGGCATCAACCCTCTTTCTCATCTGAACCCCCCCACCCACTCACACACATAAACACACAAAGAGGCCCTGGTACCAGGATTGAAGAAACCCAAGAGAAGTACTGTCCACATTCCTTGTGCCCTCTGCTGTAGTTTATCTTTTGAGTAGGAAAGCCTCCAGAAGGACCTAGAACCTGCCATCAGTTTCTTTAGATAAGTTGTCACTATCCTTGATGTCTCCTGCCCAGTACCCCACCTTCTCTCAAACTCTACTTAGAAAATGATTGCTTTGGGTTCATTCTGTTACCAGAGAGATTCAGCCATGAAAATCAAACCCAGACTGAGGCTAGTGATGATGCCACAGTGGTATTAGTCTTAACCACCTGAGTTCACAAAGTATTTACAGAAACTTGGCTATTAAATTCTTTATCTCTGGATTGTTCCTTTCCCACAAGACCAATTGCCCCTTTTCCAGGCAGTACTAATAGAGAGAATGGGACTATCTCTCACAGTTCATTTCCTCATTTGTAAATTAGAATCTTCTTGGGATGAGCTCAGCACTGACCTGAGTTGCCTGGTCAGCAAGCCTAATATCTGCCAGCTCTGACCTAGCAGAATGAAACACAACAGTATGGTGGGGGTGAGGAACAGAAAGAGCAGAGGACAGGGTTCGTGCCTAAGATGGAAAAGTCCTAAAATTCACAGTCAAAATATTAAGAATATGAAGAAAATTTTCTGCTGGATCAGCAAGATTTTGAATATTATAATTACTGTTTTATTCCTAAGCTGCTTGACAGTGACACTGTAAATGACAACCCCACCCAACCCTCATACTGCCTGGTGTGCATTTGAGCACTAAGAGAATCTTCCTGAAGGGCCTGGCTGGACTGATAGAGTGGAGACTTTTTCTCTGCTAACCCCAGAGGGGCAAGAAGGAAGATGAAAGGTAAACGGGCTAAGGAATCATTCTGGGCTCTTTTAGAATGACAGCACACTTATTTATTTCCTTACAAATTAAACTAAACCAGGACACCCCAGACTCCTACAGGTGCCTCCAAAGTTCCCTGAATTAGTGACCATTTGCAGCTCTTGGTGATTCCTGTTGATTCAGAGTAATTCCAGTTCCCATGTTTGCATTTTGTCAAGCAGACAGTTTGCAGCAGCCTTAGAGGATCTGAATGAGGCCATCAAGCTATGTCCAAACAACCGTGAGATCCAGAGACTCCTGATGAGAGTGGAGGAAGAGTGCAGACAGATGCAGCAGCAGCAGCAGCAGCCACCACCACCACAGCCGCAGCCTCAGCAGGAGTTACCAGAAGAGACAGAACCTGAACCACAGCATGAAGATATATACTCTGTACAAGATATATTTGAGGAGGAATACCTGGAACAGGATGTTGAAAATGTTTCCATTGGCCTCCAGACAGAGGCTCGGCCCAGTCAGGGGCTCCCAATAATCCAGAGTCCCCCCTCCTCTCCAGCCCATCGGGATTCAGCCTACATCTCTAGCTCACCTCTTGGCTCTCATCAGGTTTTTGACTTCCGGTCCAGTAGTTCCATAGGTTCTCCCACTAGACAGGGATATCAGTCCACCTCACCTGCTCTTTCTCCAACTCACCAGAACTCTCATTACAGGCCTAGTCCACCACATACTTCCCCAGCTCATCAGGGTGGATCTTACCGTTTTAGCCCCCCTCCTGTAGGAGGGCAGGGCAAAGAATACCCAAGCCCGCCCCCTTCCCCTCTTCGCAGAGGTCCTCAGTATCGGGCCAGCCCTCCAGCTGAAAGCATGAGTGTCTATAGATCCCAGTCCGGTTCACCTGTGCGCTATCAGCAAGAAACAAGTGTTAGCCAGCTTCCTGGCAGACCAAAATCTCCATTATCTAAAATGGCCCAGCGTCCCTACCAGATGCCTCAGCTTCCTGTGGCAGTTCCCCACCAAGGTCTTAGGCTACAGCCTGCTAAGGCCCAGATTGTGAGAAGCAACCAGCCCAGCTCAGCAGTTCACTCAAGCACTGTCATCCCCACAGGAGCATATGGCCAAGTTGCCCATTCAATGGCCAGTAAATACCAGTCTTCACAAGGAGACATGGGAGTAAGTCAGAGTCGGTTGGTTTATCAAGGATCAATTGGCGGAATTGTAGGGGATGGGAGGCCTGTGCAGCATGTCCAAGCCAGCCTAAGTGCAGGTGCCATCTGTCAGCATGGAGGGTTGACCAAAGAAGATCTTCCACAGCGACCTTCCTCAGCTTATCGAGGTGGCATGAGATACAGCCAGACACCACAAATTGGGCGTAGCCAGTCAGCATCCTATTACCCAGTATGTCACTCAAAACTAGATTTGGAGCGTTCCTCCAGCCAGCTAGGTTCCCCTGATGTGTCACATTTAATCAGAAGACCTATCAGTGTCAACCCTAGTGAAATCAAGCCCCACCCACCAACCCCCAGGCCACTGCTACACTCTCAGAGTGTGGGCCTTCGCTTCTCCCCATCTAGCAATAGCATCTCATCCACTTCCAACCTAACTCCCACCTTCCGGCCTTCTTCCTCGATTCAGCAAATGGAGATTCCGCTGAAACCGGCATATGATAGGTCATGTGATGAGCTGTCACCAGTATCTCCCACTCAGGGAGGTTACCCCAGTGAGCCTACCCGATCCAGGACCACACCATTCATGGGGATCATAGATAAAACAGCCCGGACTCAGCAGTACCCCCACCTTCACCAGCAGAATCGGACCTGGGCCGTGTCATCAGTGGATACCGTACTCAGTCCCACATCTCCAGGCAACCTGCCTCAGCCTGAGTCCTTCAGTCCACCATCATCCATCAGCAACATTGCCTTTTATAACAAAACCAACAATGCACAGAATGGCCATTTGCTGGAAGACGATTATTATAGCCCCCATGGGATGCTGGCTAATGGGTCCCGTGGAGACCTCTTAGAAAGAGTCAGCCAAGCCTCCTCCTATCCCGATGTGAAGGTGGCTCGGACCCTACCCGTGGCTCAGGCATACCAGGACAACCTGTACAGGCAGTTGTCCCGGGACTCTCGACAAGGGCAGACATCCCCTATCAAACCAAAGAGACCGTTTGTGGAATCTAATGTTTAAAAGACATTTGTTGGAGTGAGACCCATATGTTTTCACTGCACATTTTCAGGCTTGGTTTCCACATTGAGGTAGTTCTCTGGCTTAATTTCTCATGTAATTTATGTGTGGTGTTCAGAGGTGGCAGCCCACATGCTGAAATCCTTTGCATGCAGCCAACTGGGAAGCTGGCCTCCAGAAAGCCCAGACTTCAGTTTCTCTGGTCTGTGCCCCAGCCACATGTTCTCTCCCTCTTCAGATGCCAACAAGGAGATTTCTGTGCTGTGTGCTTTAACCCAGGGAGATCAGACAACACTGGTCAGCTTTTTCCAGGAGACAATCGCTTTCACTGATGTTCTTGTTGTATACATGTCTTTTTTCCTTTTTTAAAAAGTAAGCTGTTCTTGTTCGTTTTCTTCTAGGAACTTTAGAAAAGAGCGTGATCCCCCTTTGCCTTTGCATTCTTTTCCAGTGTTATCCAAATAGCCAGCCCCAGTGCATTCCTGTGCCATGGTCTCCTCACCAGACTCCAGCTCCCTGCAGTCACCAGGTCTAGAATGTTCATTTGCATTATTGCTGGTCTTCCTATGGGGTAGAAGGGTCAAGGAAACAGAAAATATATGTCTTTTAAGTTAGAAGAAGAACCATATAATTATTTGAAGCATCACTACAGTGATTTTCCAAGAGGCATTTTAGGAACATTTAGAAAACAGCCAGCTCTTTAAATGTGTCAGTCAGCCAAGGAAATTCAATGAGTACCATGGGCATTTTTGTGAAGAATTCACTGAGAATTGTTCTTAATTTTTTAACCAGCAATTAACCACTAAAAGCTGCTGATTTTCCAAGAGTAGGGAAGGGAATAAATACAAAGAAAGAGAAAACAGAAAGATTACTCTGGATTCTCAGCAAAATGCTATAGAATATGTTCTACTTTTTAGATACTGAAACATCACTGAGCATCAGATTCCACAAAAACAAGCTATTCCTGAGGGATGTCTGGTGTAATCATCCCATTTGTTGCATTTTCACTGAGAGCCATATTCTGTTTTACTGACCTTCTGTTTTCCAATCCATATGGTGTTGAGAAGAACTTGGTTCTTCAAAAAGCTGATTGGATCTTCTTGGGACTATAAGAGTGATTCCCAGGGCTTCCACTCAAGGCCATTGCATTCCATGTCAGTTGTCTAATTGCATTTCAAGATTTATACTTTCATCATTCACTACTAGACAAATTATTTTCTTTTCCTAGGGGTGTTTAGAGAGGTGATATTGGAATATCAGACACAGCAAAGAGTGTTTTGGGGTGAAGACCCTTTCAGCCCTGTTTTCTAGCCCTTGATGGGGGCATGAGACAACAAGCTTCCTCTCCAGTCATTCTCTACACATCTTCTAGGTCTTGTGCTTGTTTGGTAACCTAACTTGTAATTGAATGAGGCCACTATGACATGGACAGTAAGAACATTGAAACCAAAGCCTTAGCATGGTCCTGTCACTAACTGCACATCAGCCCTTGAAACTGAGTGGGTCAACCCAACAAACTAAACACCTGAAACTAAACAAAAGAGCATTAGTTCTCTATTGTTAGAAATAATTCTGCTCTTATAAGTAAAGGGCTACAGGAAGAGCAGTTTCCTGAATAAAATCTTGTTGTGACCAGTCTGGTTTGTAGAAGTATTCTCTGAAAGTATCATTAAGACAGGAATAGAAAACAATTCAAAAACATTTCCTTACTGCCAAGTAAATGGGCCTCCTCAGCCCCAAGCCTAAAACAGCCTAATCCCCATACTCATCTCTGTGTGCTTGGAACAGACAACTGGCCCAACTGCAGACATGTAAGGACTGCCTTTGCTCAACTCGACCAGGGTAGGCCTCTATCTACCTACTTTGGTATATCTCACTCACATCAGGAAGAAGTGTGGGCTGGAGGTGTAGCTCAATAGTAGAGTGCTTGCCTAATGTGTAAGGCTGCAGGGCTCCCAGCTACAGGCTGATAATACAGCTTCACACTTCATTTTCTTTTTTTCTTTTTCTTTTTTTCTGATGCTGGGGATTGAACCTGCAGCTTCTCAGCTGTCTTTGTGGCCAGGTCTCAGACCTGTTTGTCTTCTTGCAATTTTGTCCCATTTAAATCACCTCTCAGGGCCACGGATTTAGCTCAGTGGTGCCGCCACCTGCCTCGCAAGCACAAGGTCCCAAGCTTGATCCCTGGTACCAATAAATAAATAAATAAATAGCCTCTCAGTGGGGAACTGCTACATTTTGAAGAATTTCTCAGTCTATTAAAAAAAGTGTCCCTGACTATTTGGAATGCCACACATACCATCCACACTCACCTGTCATGGTAGGTGGGCAGTTCATGTGGTTTTACAAATATGCTACATCTCGCCAATGTTTTTCAGTTTTCCAGGACAAACGAGATTTAGGGACTATATACCTTATTAGGCAAAATATCAAGTCAAAATGCAGTTCTTTTTTAGCCATAAGAAGGAGTGACTATCACTACTGGGGCCCATTGTTTTACAGAGATACAACGGGAATTTTGGGGGATAGGAGATGAAGTTCTTCCTTGGAAGCTGACTGTGCCCTTTTTTGCTACTTCACTGCCATGGAATGATCTTAGTACTGTATTTTAGAGATGCTCCTTCCTCAACAGGCATTTGCTGAATCAATGTCTGGCTTCAGGTGGGAGGAAATTTTTCAGATGAAGCTGGTTAAGTTCCACTTACCCAATTCACATCACTCTGAAATGGAGATAGAGGTGACAAACTTCAGCTTATAGGTTTCTTACCAAATCATATGTTCCCTTTGCCCAGTATTCTTGCACTAATGGGTTTCCATCACATCATGTCTATAAATGGGTGCACTTTACTGTTTGAATTTGTAACTCTGATAAATACTGGATATTTAAGTGTGAGTAGTGTCTTCGTTAGGAAGTAGCAGAATTGCTCGTGTCTTTTTGTGTATTTTTCAAGAAAAAACAAGGAAAAGAAAGAAATCAAGCAGTGAATCACAACATTTATAGCACAAAAATAGCTATTGTATATAAGCCTCAAAAAGATTTAGAATTTTTAAACAAAAAACTTTGCAGTGATTTTAAAGTGCTTTTCCAGCAATTTTCTTAGGGACTCCTGAGACATGGTTACTTTATTTACTGGATCAGTAAGGCACACAATCAACAATTAAAAATAAATGTTTATTTACAAAGTAAAGGAAAAACCTGTGTAACATGAGAATTTGGCAAGGACAAAATGGAGACCATTTTGTATCTGCTGTTGTAGTTGTCCGGGTTGCAGATGTGCACTATTAAAAGTCCCAAGATAATAGAGCACAAACCCTACTTGTTCCTCTCCCATGTACCCTCTTTTTAGATGTGTTTAAACGTGATGGCTCAGGAAAATTCCAATAATTAGAATCATGTACAGTACCCAGGTTGTTGTCCAGATATACAAGTTTGCTAATTTTAGTTAAGCCTGGATTATTAAATACTTTTCCTAAATTATTATAAGCAGAACAACCTAGAGAAAGGTGTTCTTGGTCCTTATATTGTATAGTAGTTTATGAATCCCTCTAAATATTGGTATTTTTGTATTCCAGAGATGTTCCCAATAGAAAATTTAAACTTTAATCAGTATCTAATTTAATATCCATAAGTATTTTTCCTTAGATTTTAGTCATAAACAGTGGGATATGTGGACGTCACTTGTGCTTCACCGTGCTTTACCACTAGGTGTCACTGTGGCTCTGCACCGCGCTTGTCTGGTAGCAAAGAAAGACAGCCTTCCCTCCAAGGAGCTGCTTCCAGGGCAGCAAATAGGCCATAGAGTGAGGTTCAGGACAAAGGGAAAAGCCTAGAAGGGTCGTAATGCATCTATGCCAGTTATAATAAGACAGACTCTGAACACTACCTGCTTTGGAACTTCAGCCAGGTATAGGCTGGGAGAAGGTTGAATAGCACTCCCTTGCTCTGATAGATGGCTGGGTGTGGAGAGGACCCTTTTTTCCCCGTGATCATCCCTCCTTTCAGCCTCCAACTTTTATAACTCCAGAAATATCACAGCTGGGTGGTTTGAATCAAAGAAAGTTATTTTTCTACTACAGAAATGCCTTGGACAAAACCAGTTGCTCATTGAATCTTTGCCCCAAAATGGAAAAGGCGCCCCCCACCCCACCCCAAGGAGGCAGGATGTACCTGCCTGTGCCCGGTTTCTTGTCTCCCAGTGCTCAGCAGCCTCACTCACCCTGCCTGTCTGTCCTTGGGCTGCCCACTTCTCAAGAAGCCGACCTGCAAAGGCAGCCTGCTGCTGCCTCCACAGCAAGGGCCATGCCTCACTGGGAGGTGTGGTTTCTCCACTTCCTCTAGGAATTCCAGATTGACCATTTACCATGACTAACAACAATGAACAAAGGGCTTAGGGGTAAGAGCTACCTACAAAGACGTGTCATGGAAACCTTCACCATGCAATGCCTTGAACTCAGCTCTGGCTGCTCCCAAGAAAAGGTGGCTGGCTGGGGGCCTGGACTTAAGCACAATGGGGCTGGTGGAGCCACTGTGCAGAGCTACTTGAATAATCACTGGGTCTTCATCAACTCCTTTTGTAATACAGACCACTCAAGGGCTGAAGTGTTGGTAACCTTCATTTCGGTGTCCAATGCCTCACAGCAGCTGAGCCACCATGAGATGCTCATGGCCACATGATGGCCACAGTCAGAGCTTTGAAAGTCAGTACCAAATGAATGCATAATTGGACACCAAAAATCAAGTGTTACTTTCATGTTTCCTCACCCTATCATCTCATTTCTTCCTGCTGACTCTGTGATATCTACACTAAACTGACAGTCAGGTTGTAGCTGGATGCGTACAGATGCAGGCCAGCATTGCTCTTATTTTTTCAGATAGACCTATTCTGTGGAAAGGAAGTGGCTTAGCTGCTTTGATTTTGTAACTCTTGGTGGCTGAATTTTCTTTTGCTAATCACTAACCAGAAAATCTGGCTAAGAGGACTCAACTCACTCCCATCAGTCCCCAGGACTAGACAGAGTTATTCTGGAAAATTCAGTACTTGAATGTACCTGCCTTATTGTGTATCACTTTTCGGGGGAGTGGGGTAAGAGATGCTGGCCCAGATCTCCACTTCATTTATGGGTTGTTTTGGAAATCCTGTAAGTTAACAGTTCCTGTTCTATTTTGTTCTTGCTCTTGTTGTTGTTGTTGTTGTTGTTGTTGTTGTTGTTGTTTACCTTTGGCTGATTCCTGCTGAGTGGGGCCAGTTCCTTGTCAGGCTCAGGGCAGGTACCATTCTCAGGCATGGCCTCCTTTCCATCTAGCACAGCATCTGTATCTCTGTTCTGTCTCCTCCAAATCCAAGATGATTTTAATTAGTGCAGACATGTACAGTCTACAATTAAAGAGTGATTTGTACTAATATAATTTTGATTCTTCCTCTTTGCTGTCCTTTCAAGACACTTGCTGGAAAAAGCTTTAATGCACTTAGTTTTCCTTTAGGTTTTCTATAACTCAGATGTAAAGGACTTTCTCTGTACAGTATATTATCCAATGCATGTTTGTTCTCTATCCTGATATACTGAACACCACACAGTTGTGAACTCGTGCAGTGGGGATACCCCACACTCAGCGGAGGCCTCTAGCCCCGTGTATAAGGAAGACATTTTCCTTTGCTGTACTTGCTTGAGCAGTTTTATTGTCTGTACATGTGAGCTGTGTGAGATAGATGTGAAAAGTTCAAATGAATGCATTTTCCTGCCCCATGTATACAGAGCGTCATCTGTACAACAAACTGTATGTACGAAAGCAAATGTACTTATTTATAAATGGTTAACACTTGCAAAGACCTGGCATTGTGGTGCTTTTCTCCTTCCATTTTGCTTTCTCTGGGAAGCTGACATCTAGACTCACCCTCTGAGACCTCAGTGCTGAGGATGCCACCCCCACGGAAGAACTTGGTGGGTTAACCACTGGCCAGCCCAGTTATTTAAATATAGGATGACCAAAAATTGCATATTTTTAATTTAATTTTTATAAGATAACAGGAAATATTTTTAAGTGACAATTTTATTAAATTTATTCAATACAAGAATTGACTGGTTGAAATGACACCTGCCCAAGAGACACTCAGGATAGTACCCAAACAAATGCACTGCCCGAGTGATGCTCAGAGTAAATTTAAGTGGTTAAGGCTAAAGTCCTGGTGATTTGGTTGGTCTGTTATGGGATGTTCAGTCACCCTTTCTTCCATTGGTTCAGTCCGCTTACTGACCATCTCCTCTGAGTCAGATACCGTAATAGGCATTTGAGGGATCTGTGAGCACAAAGGAATAGTTCTAAGAACCTTTCAGCAAGGATTTTCTTCCATGGAAGCTATACCAAGGGAGCCCTATGCTTCTCTCATGTCATTTATAATAACTGGAGCTGCTATCCAGCCACCTTACCAAAATCCAAGGCTGAAGTGGGCTTTCAATCAAGTCAACTAGAGACGGCATGCCTAGGATAGGGGGCAGCCCATGCCATAGATCCAGAGGCTAACTTGGCCAAAGCTGGAGGACCATAGCTTTGAGTAGGTTTAATTTTTCTTCAGAAATCTGGCCAGACTTTTAGTCTTCACCATATAGAGAACAGGGCAGCTGCAGCATGAACAGAGAAGTTGCAGGTTTCCTGAAACTGACTCAACACCTTTAAAAAAAGTGGCCCTGAGCCCTGCAGCCTTTCCTGCCTAACTGCAATTTCTTGTCTACTCTAGGGACAAGCAAGGAAAGAGACCACTTCCTCTAGACATCTGATTATGCCAAGCAAACATTCCTGCTGGGTAGCTTCCTCCACTTTCCCAAACAACCAAACCCCAGAGAAGCAGGAAAACTTCAGGCCACACACAGTCATCTCAGCCTGAACACCAGATCACCTTAAAGAGCAGAGAGAACCCTAGAAGGAACCACCTGCTTGGTCTGAAAACCATTACAGTTATTCCATTCGAAACCAAAAGTGGATAAGTGCTTGGCAAAACCCCAGTTTTAAAGAATTCCTGGGGCATTGGAAGAAAGGTAGTGACCCATTTTTTTTAAATCCTTATTTAAAAAATTTTTCTGAACCTGATTAAAAAGCTACTCAGTAGAAGCAAATCAGCAAAAAGTCTTTGTGGGTTTTTAGAAGTTTTTGTTACTTCATTCCCTAAGAGGTGCCTCTTAGTAATTCAGTAGATAGGTCCTCCACTGTGCATATCTGCATGTGAGAGCTAGGCCTTCTGTCAGGCTGGGAAAAGTAGGCAGAAACCACTGTCAGGGCCAGGATGGAGTGTCTTCTTCCAGCTTTAAGCTGGAGGACCACGAAAAAGCAGGAGAAAGTAAAAATGACATAAAAAAAAAAATTCACAGAATGAATTACAGCTTCCTAAACAGAGCAAAAGAATTGTGACATACAGATAAGTGAGGCATATAGGACTCCAACTAACCGTGATCAAAAAAAAAAAAAAAACTACACCTAGACATATAATAGTCAAGATCCCAGAAACCCAACAGAAGAACAAAATCCTACAAGCAGTTAGAGAAAAGAAACAAATCACATACAAAGGAAAGCCCATCAGAATCACAGCAGACTTCTCAACACAAACCCTCAAATCAAGGAGAGTCTGGGGTGACGTATTTCAAGCCCTAAAAGAAAACAACCTCCAACCTAGACTGATGTATCCTGCAAAACTATCTTTCAAAATTGATGGGGAAATAAGATATTTCCATGACAAAACAAGGTAGAGGAGCCAGGTGTGGTGGTGCATCCCTGTAATTCCAGCACAAAGGAGGCTGAGGCAGGAGGATTGAGAGTTTGAAGCCAGCCTGGGATACACTCTGAGACCCTGTCTTGAAAAACGAGGAATTTAGAGCCCCTCAGTGAATCAGTCAATCTATTCCAGGTAATGAGACAGGGCACCAATGATAAAGCTGTTGTGTCAGAAGACTTGGGGTAAAAGGAAGTTTCTTTACACAAGAGAAGGGGCTGAGAATCCATCCTCATAGGCCCATTATGCCTATGACAGGGACTTTATATATGTCCTCTGGCATGTTGGCACATGCCTGTAATACCAGCACTTGGGAGGCTGAGGCAGGAGGATTGCCATGAGTTTGAGCCAGCCTGAACTACAAAATGAGACCTTGTCTCAAAAAAAGTAAGAAGAGGACGGAGAGCTTGCCAAAAGTTGCTTTGTGCTTCTTTGAAAGAAAAAAAAAAAAGCCTCACCAAAGAATAGCCATTTTGGGACCTTTCAGGGTTCCAAACACAGCAAGATGAGATCCTTGCCCTCTTCTAATTTGAAAGTTTTAGACCAGGAGATAAAAGAGTGGCCTTCTAGAGAGGGAGGCAGCATCTTCTGGTGTCTGGGATCATTTGAATATTCAAAAACAAAGAGATGTGTAAGCATCAGAGGCTAGCCCCAAAAGCCAGAATGGTGGTATATAACAGGGTAGAGATCTCTGCTTCACACATATAGCTAGCCCAGTGCTTGACTGACCACTTGGCTAATGACATATACCAAGCTTTGTGCCTTCAGTGCTTTTAACCAAATGAAAGTCTCCAAGGAATCCTTGATTCAAGAGAGACTACAGATGTTCAAAGGGGACCTCTCAACTCTGGCTTCTATGCATTAGAAACCAGCTACAACAGAGAACAAAGTTAAATGCTAGGAAGCAAGTGGGCATATTACTTGTGAGAGGATTTGTTGTAGAGTACCTTTAAATAGTTTCCCAATAAATTTTTTAATTGCTTTAAGTAACATACAGTGAGATTCCATCCAAATTTACCACAAACATAGCTCTTGCCTGAGCTATATAAATTGATCTAAAACGAAATCTCAGCCTGTGCTGAAATCTTTGTTCTTCTTAAGGATGAAAAAGACATATAAGACTAGTTGTGGTAGCACATCCCTATAATCCCAGCACTCAGGAGGCTGAGCCAGCAGGATCACCACAAATTCAAGGCCAGCCTGAACTACATAGCAAAACAACAAAACAAAAGACATTATAAACAAAAACAGAGCTGGGGATACAGCTTAGTGGCACAGCGCCTGCCTGGCAAGCACAAGGTCCTGAGTTCGATCTCTGGTACCAAAAAAACAAAAACAGTCAAGCTGGGGTGTAGCTCACTAGCAGACTGGGTTTAATACCCAGCACTGAAAAAAAAAAAAAAAGAATCAGTTGAATACTGTACTATACTGAAGGACATTCTTGCTTTAGGACCTTATAGGGATCCAGCAGCTCCACCCTTCAGGACATTCTCCAACACATAGAAAGCCCCTTCCAGCCAGGTGTGGTGGTACACACCTGTAATCCCAGCACTCAGAAGGCAGGGGCAGGAGGATCGCTGAGTTGGAAGCCAGCCTGGGCTACACAGTGAGTTCAAGGGCAGCCTGAACTACATAGTGAGACCCTATCTTTTTTTTTTTTTAAAAGCCCCTTCCACAGGGACCATTTCAGGTCTGTGCTGTGATAAACACCACTGGTCACTTTACCTTCTGTGCCCAGCCTACGGACAATTTCTCTCAACCGTTAGAACTAACTTCACTGTTAAAAGGTCTGGTTCCTTTCACTGCCGCAAAAAATGAAAACAGGCATACAGACTGCTGTAGACATTTATTTAATCATCTGCATGAATAGCACATCTACCTCACAGGAGACTGGCTACAGGCAAACAAGAGAAACCACACACATCTGCTTGGGGGCCTTCTTTGGTCCTTAGTCATCCACTGTACACTTTGGCAAACAGACCAGTTTACAGACATTCACTGCACATCTACAGTTCCAGTTCTCTCCAGATCTGGCCAGCGAGTACACAATTGTACCTTAGTAATTTGTCTAAGGACAAGTTTCCCACATGTAAACATTTGACTATATAAGTGTGTACAAGGAGATTGAAGAACTGATAAGATCCCATCCTTGCAGGGTATACCATTGAGACGAGGTAACATCATCCAGGCAAGCAGGAGGAGCTGGACCATAGCTGCCTGCTCTGAGAAGTGACATGGCCAAGGGAATGTCCCACAGCAGAAGCCAGTTATTAGAAATGTAAGCAACAGAGGAGGCCAGCCAGTTTCTCTAAGGCAGTATTTGGTCTGGGGATGTAGCTCAGTGGTGCCGCGCTTGCCTGGCAAGCACAAGGCCCTGAGTTTGATCCCAGGAACCAAAAAAAAAGTCTCTAAGGCAGCATTTAAGTGAGGAAAGGCTAACTTAAAAAAAAAATAGTCGGGTTTGGAAATTTTATTAATTTCTTCTCTTAAGTAAACCGTGTCTGTCTTAAACTGTCAGGCTCCTGAAAGCCCAGAAAACAAGGAGAGAGCATTTGCCAAAATGAAGAAGCACAAGATCAATGCTCTAATCACATTATTTCTAGACTGAAGCCAAACAGTGACTCAGCTAACATCACACATGAGGGGTTGAAGCAATGTCCATACACCACAGGGGATTAATCTCATTCTGTCTTGGTCCTTAACTTCCTGCAAAGATGGGCCCATAGGGAGAAGGGGCCCACCCCTCAGAACAGAAGCAGCTGCTTCCACCAGGGAGTGTGCTGCAGCGGCCCTGTGTGGGGCAACATAAGCAGCAGCTCTTCATTTATGACCTGCGCAGATGTGTGTCCTCTAGATCTCAAAGCAGTGCCTGAGCTGGCATGAGTGGAACAGGGCTGGAAAAGGAGGGCTGCCCTCACCTGCTGAGGCACAGGGCATGTGTGTCTGAAGCCACGTGTTTCCATCCCCTCCATCACAAAGCCATCCTGGGACTCAGGGGTTAAAGAACAGGAAGGCCCAAAACTGTAGCTGAGCCAAAGCCACACCACTGTGCTTGGGTGGGGGATCCCTCCCCTCTCCTGGGGAGCCTTGTGCTGAACACCAGCATACTTTACACATAATATCACTTGCTCAACTGCCAAAAACAGGGCCCACTGCTACTCAGGCTAGATAAGACTGGTTTGAATTCAGTGTTCCACAAAGCAGAAGGCTAGGCTTTGCCAGGCCTGTCCCTGAGACCCTGCAGTTTCTCTGACCTTACCCCAGGCATCTTCTGCCTTGAGGTGGAACCATTCTCCAGCTTCTCCAGCCCCTACCCAAACCTTCTTCATTTGAAGGGGGAAACAGTGGCACAGGCCCGCATGTGACTCAGTGGACACTTCTACAGCAGCAATAAGAAGGGAAAGGAGAGGGCAAACACTAGCCCCAGAAACCAGCTCAAACAGAAACCATTGCTTCCACACTCCCCACCCATGCCGACTGGGCCCTCCTCTGGAGCCTCAGCAGGAGTGAGCAAAAGACATCTGTGGGAACCCCACAGAACCAAGGGGCTACCTCTTCCCAGGCCCCCACTCAGGACATGGACAGGCCATCACTGGGAGCTGGGGCTGTCCCCTTCTGTCAGTGTCTTAAAGTCCATGGAGAGGGCCTGCTCTTCAGCCTGGGGAGGCCGCTTCCAGTCGGCTTGAGCCAGGATGTAGAGGACAGCCACCCCGAAGCAGGCCAGCAGCAGACCCAGCACATTGGCCAGGATCCCCTCAGGCTCAAACATGCTGTACTTGTTTCTGCAGAGGAGGATAAAAAGAAGTGATCCAAGAGGTCACAGGCCAATGTCATTATCCTGGGCCTTAAAGATGCCACAGTTTTGCTAACACCAGCCCCCCCCATCCCCTCCCAGACAGAAAAACACTGCTAAGCCCACAAAAACTTAATGTGCAGTGAAGCAGAGGACAGGGTTCCACCTTTGCAGAGAGCTATGGCCCACCCTCTCCTACATAGGACACTCACCCAAGCTTAAACAGCACTGCTTCCTTCAGGCCCAGCAGAGCTGTGCCCACAGAAAGGAGAAAAATGGTAGCACCAAAGAAAATATGCTGAGGGCGGTAGCGGCTCCGCAGAGAAAATGAAGCTCCAGGAAACAGGAAGAAGCTGAAGCCCACGAGCCACTAGAAGAAAAGGAGAGGCAATGCTGGACAGTGCTCTGACTGGCGGAGGACACCAAGGCAGCCTCTGCATCCCTCACCTGGCTTCTAGGTGAAGGGGGTAAGAAGTACTTATGGGGAGAGGGTACTGGCTCCCAGTACTTGAGGCTATTAGCCTTGAGGCCTTGGACCCACAGAAAAGTTCATCATACCTTGTTTGGGGGAGGTTGGGTATGTAACCATGTGTCAGATCAGCAGGAAGGGCACCAGGGATTGGGCACCCCTAAAATCCTAGGTTCATACCCATCGCAGTGTCTGGAGGCAGCATTCCAACCAAACCCTCTCACATTTTGAACCACCTTGGAAAATGGGCCCCTCTGTTGCATACACTTTAGCCCTTCTCCCCTTCCCCCAGTTCATTAACGGTGGCCAGGACCTGGGGTGCTGGAAAGACTCACCTGCACAAAATAAAGGACAAAGACAAGGATCCCGCACCAGCTGTGCAGGCTGTAGAGGTCAGCATAGCCCATCTTCCTGTGGTAATCAAACACAGCCACCAAGCCTGGACCACAGACAGAGGCCATGTGAGGACGGGGCTGGGTGTGCAAGAGGGAGGGAGTGGGATGACCTGAGGGAAACCGGCTAGCTGGAACTTCTGGGCTCTGGTCCAGCCTGATGATGGCCAGTACCCAGTGTCCCTGCCTGGGACGTCTCTGGGGCAGGGCGGAATGTGGAGCAGGACTATCCAGTTCTGGGTAGGGAACAGTGCATATGCAACAGCTGCTTCCCAAGCCTAAATCAGCAGGTAGGGAAAGGGATGACTGTGCCCAGGAACTTACCAACCAGGGAGATGATGAATGCAAAGACATGCAGCAGCCCATGCAGGACCTTAGTCGTGTGTTTGGCCTCTTTCCTGAAGACACGGTAAACCAGCAGGGCTTATGGGAAGAGAGAAGGGGAATGGTAAGTGCATCAGCCTCTGCTAGAGGAACACCATGGAGGCCCACGCTGGCAAGAAAAGGATCTGAGGCAAGGGCTGTCAAGGTTTGCCAGCCACAGGGACTAGAGAGGATGACAGGGCTCCATGGGCACCTTGGGTACGCATCTGGCCTTTGTAGAACAGACTCCCCTCCTCAGAGCTGCACACCTGTGCACACTCAGAGGCCAGGGTGAGAGGCTGTGACACAGTTCCTGCCACCACAACAGGCAGCACAGGCAGGACTCTGCCCTGAGTCCCACCCGAAACAACAGCTGGGCACAGGAGACACCCACCCCACCTTCTCACCAGAGAGCCTGTGAATTCATTCAGTGTTTTGAATCCACTGGGCAGTCACACTGAGATAACAGCCAGACTCTGAGTTTAACTTTTAGTGATGTCACTCCTCAAAGAGTCTAATTCTATACCCTGACCAGATTGTCACTACTCTGGGCAAGCAGGCTCCTGGTGCCCAAAGTAGAACCTATAACCCTAACCTAATCCTAACTATGTCCAGTTATGGTGGACAGGACCAGGTCCTACAGGGATGCCTCCTAGGATCATCTGCTGAGAGGTGGCTGTCACCAGGTACCTCTGGAAAGAGTGGCTCAACCAGCTGTAGGGTACAGGCCGTGTACCACCTAGTCCCATCCCAGGTAAAAGTGCTCTAGCTTGGCCAAGTCCAAGTACAACAGCACACACCTCTTTTCCCCATTCCAGCTGCCCTTGAAGATGGCCTAGTTCACAGCTGGGTCCTTGGCTCTCTGATCAAGGAAGCACCCCCATCCCCTAACCTCAGGGCCCAGATCTGAACTCCATCTCTCAGGCTTTAAGCCAGCCTCCTCCTCTGTCCTTTCTAGAATCTTGGATTTTCCTAACTGGAAGAGACATCAGAGGTGACAGGATCCCCGAAAACTGCCTCTCCCAGGGATGCCACAAGCCCAGGCACAGGAGAAAGTTTCCAGGAAGCCAGCCCCATTGGACTCACCATCTCCCTGCAGGAAGATCAGGCCTATGACCATGCAGAGGGGGTGCACATTAAACTGCAGGGCACTCTCCCAGGCAATGCCACCTCGGTACAGACCCAGCCAAGCACCAGTCATGGCCACCACGGTCAGGCCCAGCAGCTGGGAGAAGGCCACGTAGTATGGCAGTGTGGAGGGGGTAGACCCCAGGCCAGTTCCGCTCTCCATGGTGAGGCTGCTGCTGCAGGGAAGACAAAGAGCTCAGAGGAGCCACCCACCACTTCCTGAAGGTGTGTCTGCCTCTCCCAGTACTCCTGCCATCTCCCCCACCCCTGTGCCAAAGCAACACTCATCACTCAAGCACCTCTAAGACCCTTCCCTGCCACCATCCTGGGGTAGTGTCCCCGGAGTGCCAGGAGCAGCTCTGTGGGAGCCTGGGCCTTCCCACGACAACAGACCTGACCTGGGTTCCATGTGCAAGGCAGTCACAAGGGGAGACACTCCAAATTCTGCAAGGAGCACAGCCCCAGGCCTGGGCTTTATCTTCTGTTTCATGAGGCCCTTAGTTTTCTCAGGTGGGGTTTACAGGTAAATTACAGAGAAGTGAGCAAATCCCTTCAGGTGCAGGGTTAGTTCTCAGATGGGTGAAAAAGTACATTTAGGGTGAGAAATGGAAGCCTCCCCCAACCCTGGTTTCTAAGCTCCATGACTAGAAGATGAGGAGTCCTCCCCAGGGAACCACCTTGGAAAGCCAGGCTTGGAACCCTAGAGTAGGGGCCCTGTCCTGTAGAATAACTGCCCTGATCCTGCCATGCCTGACAGCAAAGTCCTCACCAGACTCCTTCCCTTCCTGCCCTGTTCCTCTCTAAAGTGAGATTTCTCTTAGGCGAGATTTCCAAAACTGAAGCCAACAGAAATACAGCCAACAAAGAATAACGCCTCACATGTAGAACTCACGTGTCCATAAACCCCACTGAGCTCGGGATAACCCTAGGCAGGAAGGTAAAGCAGGTGTGTTACTATTCAAGGAGGTTCAAGACAGCTTGGCTCAGGAGACCCATGGGTGGCCCCAGTGCATGCACAACCTTGTGACAGCAGGAGAGCCTCAGGGCCAGCTCTTTACCCTGCACCTGTGGGTTCTCCTGTCCCCAAGCCCAGCCCATGGGCATCCAGGATGAGAGGAAAAAGCTGGGAGAACACACATGGCCCTGATATCCCTGGCCTTCTTTCCCCTTGCCTCAGTGCTGGCTGTGACCTGGGCTTCACAGAAAGGTCCTGCGATGATGGGACACCACTACCGGCATGATAAGCAGACATTAGAGTTCTGGCCCACTCCCCCTTTCCTGGACAGCTGCTCAGCAACAATGGGTACCAGCAGGGAGGGTGACAGCTGGGAGCCAACTCCGTGGTGGTCCCTCTAGCACCCGTGCACATACTCCACCCTGCAGTGCTCTGGATGGAGTTTGAAGTCTTGTGATCAGGCTCCACCTGTACCCGCCCATTCTCTGCCACATCTGACAACTGTTGGCAATTCCACCACTAAAAGAGGGGGAGAGGTGGCCGGGGATTTAGCTCAGTGGTTCCACTGCCTGCCTCGCAAGCACAAGGACCCAAGTTCGATCCCCGGTACCAAAAAAAAAAAAAAAAGGGGGAGAGGGCGCTGGGCAGTGAGGTGCACACCTGTAGTCCCAACTACTCAAAAGCCTGAAACAGGAGGATCACAAGTTTGAGGCCAGCTTGGGCAACTTAACCAGATCCTGTCTCAAAATAAAAAGAAGTAAGATGTAGCTTGGTGGTAGAGCATTTACCTAACATGAGTGAGGCCCCAGGTTCCATCTCTAGTACCACCACCAAAAAAAAAAAAAAAGAACTATTGGTAATGCATGCTATATTATGTCATCAACATTTGATTCATATCCTTACATACTTTCTTCTAGAAATACATATACATTTTCATGAAAAGGGTCATACAGTTTTCTAACCTGCTTTTTAAATATAACGGTATATCATGCATATCCTTCCACATTAGTGAATACCCATCTACATCAGCATTCCAGTAAATCCACACTTGCTGCACTGAACCACTGTTCTATTTCTTAGCAGACCCCTGATTCCCTGATCAACAGGGGGCTGCCTGGCTTTCAGTTTTTCATCAGACCAATGAGTGATTTGGGGTGATCATCTTTGCACATTCGTGCGAGCCAGGGCTCCATTACCCCTTCCCTTTGGTTATCTTCACTGCCACATCAAGTCGGGGCTGACAGCCTCTCCCTCTGCATTCTGCCTGACAGACCAGGGACAGACCCAGCCCCCCCCAAGTCATGTTGTCCCCCTGCCCACCAGTAAAATGCCAGCTGTAACAGGACTGAGTTTCTGTTCACAGTCTCACTGGGTCCTTGCCAGGTCCACAAGGAGGAGGCTCCTAGGCTCCCTGACTCTAACACAACCTGCTGCCCTTCTTCCGTCTACCTCGGCTGAGCCGAGCTTAGTTCCCTGCTCCCGCTGCATGCCCACACCCTGTAGATTTACCCCTAGCCCACAATAGGCATCTTGCTCTCCACTTTCTTATTTGTCCCCAAGGGCTTCCTTACCCCTTTCTGGTTCTGTTTTAGATTAATCCCATGGTGTTCCTCCTCTAAAGTGCCCAGTTCACTCCTTGAAGACAGGGAGGACGTTGTACCCTTCTCTGGGACTCCACAGATATCTGACACCTTGCTCAACTCTAGTGGAGAAGGTACACTAATGGGAGAAATGTCCTCTGGTCATTTGTCCTGTGTCCTCCTCGCCAGGTCACTGCCTCCTTTATTAGATTCATACCGAGTACAGTCAGAACCTGATTAGCTCCAAATTAGGAAGGACAGAAGAAACAGACCCCGCGGCAGTCTGATCAGCCACAACTTCTTTATGCCATGTAGACTACAAAGGCAGATCTGGGGATGGTGGGGGGCAGGGACTGCTCACCACAGCCTGTTTTTCCTGTCCCAGCCAATCTCCTCATGAGACAGGCAGTAACTCCAGTGAGGTTCTTTCCACAGGGTGTGTGTCTTTACCATCCTACATTAGGAATTCAGCCCTGGAGTCCGTGGGAAGTCAGCACCCAAGTGCTGCCTGCACCCACATTAGGCTGAGGCAGAGCTTACTCATATGCATCAGGAGGGTGGGGCCCAGCAGCCAAAGAGCCTCCTGCTCTCTGCCAGGTACTGCTCTCACCTAATCCTCGACCCATAGCTGTGTGCATAGGAGCACTACCCACTGTGACAGAAGGCAGGAAAGCAGGGCTCAAAGACAACAAAGGACACACCCACAGTTACTGTCGGCAAAGAGCTGCACCTATGATCTACCATCACTGCCAGATGCTAGGCCTATACAGAAAAGACAGTTTCTGGCCCTAGGGCAGTGGTGGCGAACCTGTTACAACAGGCTATTTGTATCACTGAAAGCTCTAAAAGGTGTACCATCACTGCCCTAGGAAGCTTGAGGCCGAGTTGCCACACAGACACAGATGTTAAAGGAAAGTGTGGTAAGAATTTGAGCCTGGTCTGAATGCCTCTTCCCACTGCACATGGAAGACAAGAGCCCCTCCTTTAATAAATGACCTGCTCATGAGTCACCTGCCCAGTGCCCGTGTCTCCTGCTGGTATGTGGCTTGCACTTTCTAACACCCAGTGACTAGGGTGGCACTGTCACACTCTCCAAATACTGAAGCCAATCAAGGATTGAGGCAGCCCTTGTGGAAAAAGTCACTCTGATGCAGGGCTCCAAGACAGGTTTCCTTCTCCCTTTCCAGCCAGCTCCCTGTTCCCTGCTCACTGACCGTACCACCATGGCAGCAGGCACTGATCCTGGCCTGCAGCTCCATAGGAGAAAAGGCAGCAGGCCTGAGTGGGTAGGTAAGAGAAGGCATCTCAGGAGGAAGCAGGAAGCTTCCCAGGGCAGCTCTCCAGGGCCTACAGCCCTGAGTGGTAACCAGGGCAACCAGAAACAGGAGGAAGCCAGAGACAGAGAATGACCTTTGGAAGGGGGGCGGGGCAGGGAGCTGATCTGAAGATGATGTTTGTTGCAAGGTCCAAACATGAAAGATGACAGGAAAAATGGCAAGACCACCTGGGCAAGCCTGTGGTTTCCCTATAGGTTACCTCACAGCCACTAAATTCTAAGTGTGGAAAATACAAATTTACTAAAAAGCCAAGGTAGTGAGAGGCTCTGTGCTTCAGAGACATAGATGAAGAGTCCTTTAGTAGCAAGACTCCCCCAAGTACGGTTCAGCTCCACATAACTGGTAGCCCATCTGTGCCCGAGGAGGTCGGATACATAGGGGACAGACACCCCCAATACTCTGGCAGAACCCAGGCTGCCACAGGCCCCTCTTGACACTGGTGGGGATTTGCTCTTCAGTCATGGCGCCTTGTTTCCCAATTTTAACAGAACACTCTCACGCTTCCTTTGTACCCACACTGAAGTCTGGTTTTGACCTCTGTGTTCCAGAGCTAGAAGCAGCCACTCTCTACCATAAAGGTTTTCTCTGGCAGCAGACCAGAGTCTTGCACCCACAGGGAGCGCATGTGGCCCCCTGCACATCCACTCTTCTTCCTCGGTGAGAGCACAGGACGGGGTGACAGATCTCTGCCAGCTTCTGGACCACTGGATTGTAACACACACGCACCTGCCCCCCCTGAGTACCACCTGCAGTCAGACGCCACTTAATGCAATCAGACAGGGACATGGAAACCTGCAGGGCTTAACCTGCACTAAGCATTGTGCTCCCTCCTCATGCCCACTGCATTTTATTAAAAGTCCACAGAGCCTAATCTCATTACTGGGGACCAGACACAGTACAGGATGTACTGCCAGGGGCGGGGGGGGGGGGGG